ATCTTGATGAGGGAATTACTAGTGATATGAGCAAATTCGATTCGCGCCGAGACACAAAGATAGGAAGGATGAATTGATTCAAACGTAGATGTTAGGGAACATCAGGAGGAATTAAACAAACTCTATTCTTGGTCAGAAAGTGCAGTATGCAGTTCAATGTAGATAAGTGCAATGTTCTAGAAGCTTGGTAGTGCCCATAACCTCTTACTTTATAAATTAAATATGTAGAACTTAGCCATACAGATTGCGAAAAGGACTTGGGGGTTTATGGTGAGCAGCAAACCTTAACCAAGACAGCAATGCCTAACGTACTAATAAGGCAAATAGATTACTGGGATTTATATCAAGAAGTGATAAGCACAGAAGTCCAGATGTCATAACTGCAGCATAAACATCATTATAAGGCCTCACCTTGATATGCAGCTCATTTTGTCCCTCTCCGTATTACACAATGGACATAAATTTCGTTAGAAAACATTCAGCGTAGGATGACTAAATTAAATACATAGCATCAGAAAATCTATCCTTATAAGAAAGATTGAAGACTCTTAAGTAAATTCACTTGTTAGAAAAACGAAGAATGAGGGAGACCTATCCCGAAGTGATAAGTGGAAAAAAATAGGTATTAATAAAGGGGATATTAATAGGACTTGAGGAAGTCTCTCCAAGAGAGAACCCGCCCGCAGTAAATGGATTTAAATTAGATAAGTTTAGATATAGAGAGGACATAGGAAAGTATTGGTTTGGAAATAGGGTAGTTGATGAGTGGAACAGTCTACCTAGTTGGGTTATTGAGGCTAGGACTTTGGGTAGTTTCAAATCTAGGTTGGATAAGTACATGAGTGGGAAGGGTTGGATTTGAGTGGGACATTCACTTCAAGCTTATTCTTGGTATCCATTGAAAATTGGGTTGGTAAATGTTTTGTAGTGGATGAAAATGTAAGAGGACCTCCAAGTATGGGCCAGCAGGCCTCCTGCAGTGTTCCTCCCTTTCTTATGTTCTTATGTTCTTATGACATCTCCACTGCCTCCAGCCTTCTCCTCGCTGCAACATTCATCACCCATGCTTCACACCCATATTGGGCGTTGGTAAAACTACTCTCACACATCCCCTCATTGCCTCCAAGGACAAAGTTCATTGTGTCCACAGACTCTAATTTGACCACGCACCCTTTTCCCCTCATCAATTCTAATGATTCACCTCATCTTTCACAGACCCATCTGCTACACTCCACTCCCAAATATCTGATACTTATCATCACCTTCTCCATACTCTCTCCTCCAATCAGATATCCAATCTTTCATCATCTACTCTTTTGTTATCCTTCATAACCATTACTCTTTCCTGTATTCACTTTTAATTTTCCTTTCTTTCCCACACCCTACCAAATTCATCCACCATCTCTGCAACTTCTCTTCAGAATCTCAAAGCACAGTGTCCAGTCAGCAAAGAGACAACTGTGACAACTCCCACTTTATGTGTGATTCTTTATCTTTAACTCCACGCCATTTTGCCAAGACCCCTCGCATTTACTTCTCTTACACCCCATCTATAAAATATCTTAAACAAACCATGGAGACATCACACATCCTCCTTGTCTAAGGCCTACATTTACTGGGAATAATTTCCCTCTTTTCTACATACTCTAACTTGAGCCTCACTAATACTCCTCTAAAAACTCATCACTTGCTTTCAAGTAAACCTACCCACCTACACCATACACCTGCAACATCCTGCACCACATGCCCCCCTATCCACCCTGTCATATGCCTTTCCAAATCCATAAATGCCACAAAGACCTCTTTACCTCATCAAAATACTGTTCACTTATATTAATCACTGTAAACACCTGTTCCACATACCCCCTACCTTCGCAAAGCCTCCTGTTCATCTGCTATCCTAAACTCCGTCTTACTCTAATTCTTTCAATAAAACTCTAACCATACACTTTACCAGGTAATACTCAACAGACTTAATCCCCCTATAATTTTTGCACACTCTTTTGTCCCCTTTGCATTTATACAAAGGAACTATGCATGCTCTCTGCCAATCCCTATACTTTAACCCTCTTCCATACATTTATTAAATAATTGCACCAACCACAACCAAAACGTAGAATCCCCACTGCTTTTAACATTTCTATCATTATCCCCATCAATCCCCGCTGCCTTAGCACCCCCTTCATTTTACCTACTGCCCACGAACTTCCCCCCACACTCACTACTGGCTCATCCTCACATCCTCCAAGATGTTATTCCCCTCCTTGCCCTATACAACAAATCACAGCATCCATATCTTCCATCAACATTTTAACAATTCCTCAAAATATTCCTTCCATCTTCCCAATACCTCTAACTCTCCATTTAATAACTCTCCTTTTTCTATTTTTAACTGACAAACCCAATTTGTTCTCTAGGTTTTCCCTTAATTTGTTAATCTCACTCCAAAACTTTTTCTTATTTTCAAAAATTTGTTGATAACATCTCACCCCCTCTCATTTGCTCTCTTTTACATTGTTCACCACTCTCTTAACCTCCTCTTTTTCTCCATATACTCTTCCTCTTGCTCACTTCTACTTTGAAAAACTTCTCATATGCTAACTTTTTCTCCTTTACTCTCTCTTTACATCATCATTCCACCAATCGCTCTTCCCTCCTGCACCCACTTTCTGTAACCACAAACTTCTGCTGAACACTCTAACACTTCTTTTTTAAACTACCCATCATACCTCTTCGACCCCATTGCCTATGCTCTATTAGGCCATCTATCCTCCAATAGTGTTTATATCTTACCCTAACTGCCTCCTCTTTTAGTTTATTAACCTTCACCTCTCTCTTCCCCTGATGCTTTCTATTCTCCTTGAATCCCATCTACCTTTTATCTCTCGTGTGTAGCTACAACTGGAAAGTGATCTGATATATCTGTGGCCCCTCTATAATCATGTAATCATCTGATGTCTACTCAACAGTCTTTTTATCTTCAAATTACATAAATCCAAACAACTACTGTCATTTGACCTACATATATCGTGTATATACTTATTTATCCTCTTTTTCTTAAAATTTGTATTACCTATACTCTATACCCCTTTCTTATACATAGTTAATTCAAAGGGCTCATTATCATTTACCCTGGTACCCAAACTTACCTACCACACCACTCTCATAAAAAGTTGCTCCTATTTAGCATTCAAGTCCCCTTCCACAATTACTTCTCACTTGGGTTCAAAGGGCTCTATACATTCATTAACGTTACTCCCAAAATTCTCTCTCTCCTCTGCATTCCTCTCTTCTACCAGGTGCATACACGCTTATTATGACCACTTCTGCATCCAACCTTTCTTTAATCCACTATTCTTGAATTTACACCATTTATATTCTCTTTTCTCCTTCCAAACTGATCATTTAACATTACTGCTACCCCTTCCTTTGCTCTATCTCTCTCAGATACTCAGATTTTAATCCCATTTATTCCCCCACTGAAACTTCTCCTACCCCTTCTGCTTTGTTTCGCTTAGGGCCAGGACATCCAACTTCTTTTCATTCTTAACATCAGCAATCATATGTTTCTTGTCATCCGCACTACATCCTCGCCATATTTAAGCAACCAGTTTTATAAAGTTTTTCTTTCTTCTATTTTTAGTGATTGTATACAGGTGAAGGGGTTTAGCACCATTGCTCCCGGCATTTTAGATCGCCTCATTTAGACACGCATTGGCTTACGGAGGTAAAGATTTCTTTTCCCAATTCCCATGGACAATTAGAAGAAATAAAAAAGAACAAGATGCTATTTAGAAAAAAAGGAGGAAAGAAAAACTAGATGTTTGTATATATTCTATATTTGCAGTGCGTTGTCTGGAAGTGGTGCCAAAGTGTAAGTAGGAGTAGCAAGATATCCCTGTTATCTTAGCGTGTTTATGAGACAGAAAAAGAAACCAGCAATCCTACCATCATGCAAAACAGTTACAGGTTTTTGTTTCACAGTCATCTGGCAGGACGGTAGTACTTCCCTGGGTGGTTGCTGTCTACCAACCTACTACCTCTACCAAAATATCCTCCTTATTTACACTTCTGTACATTTTTGTTGGTCACAGAAACAAAAACATGGCCCTCCAATGTGTGTACAGAAAGTTAAGGTATGATAAAATACTTCCATGTTACTTTTATAAACAATAAAATTACAGTGAAGCATGTGATGGGGTCAGGTGATTAGACAGACAACCCATAGCAGTTTACTGCTCACTTAGCTACATAACCAATTCTCAAGCACTTATACATCAACATGCAAGAGAACAAGAAATTCAAGGTATGATCAAATTCTTTCTCGTCACTATTATAAATGATAAATTGTATAATGTAACTGTATCATCTCCTCAAATATATGAAAGGTGTCACTGTGATAAAACCACAAACAACTCAGCCATCTACCCTATAATACAGTGGAATCTTGGTATGTGACCTTAATTCATTCCAGAAGGCTGTTCGAGTGCCGCTCCGTTTGAGCATCGAACAAGTTCTTCCCAACCAATTTTCTGTTTGGTTGGCTGTTATCGCTAATCTTCATAGGCCCTATGGTGACTTATTTACACACACACACACACAAAAAAAAAAAAAAAAAAAAAAAAAACACACCCAACAATGTGAAGAAACACGAAATAGTTTACAGCAAAGTTCAGGCTGGTAGTATTCGCTTGGTCAAGTGCTGAGCTTTGTTGGAGTAGGGAGCTGGTCATATATTTTGGTTCCACTGTACTACTTAAATTGGCATCTACTGCTAATGTCTGCATAACACGTTTTCATGTAACACCAATTTTCAGGAATGAAACCACTGTGCTATTCGAGTCTACTGTATTAGAAACCACTGTGCTATTCAAGTCTACTGTATTACAAAATAATGTTAAGAGTTGAACAAAGCATTGTCTTTCATATAGAATTCTTTTCAAATGGAAAAAAATAACAAATTTTCCATCTTACTAAAGATATTTTTAAATGAGACTTACCTTTCAAAGCAGCTAGTGTACTTAAATATTTCTCCTGGAGCTCAGCAAGGTCTGCACACTTTTCTTCACCTGTAGCAAACAAAGTCAATACTGTACCTATTTGTACTCTACAAAAAATAATTTCAATAAAGAAAATTCAGAACAATGTATACATTATAGGTAGTAAAACCAACAATAAAAATTTAACTCAAAAGAATTTCATTCACTTCTTTCTGATATGTAGACAAGACAGTCATCTGGTAATTCTTAGTGAAGCTTTATTTGACAAGTAAACATGTCAATCTTGTGCTTACTTTTCAAACTTACAATTAGTAAATAAATTATGAAATCATAATTAACTTCTAAATATGGCTATCCTAAAATTCATAATAAAACTCACCCTTAAACTTTTTTTCGCTTTGTACCTTTCTGCTCCCTCTGTTGTCTCTTTTTGCTTGTGGGACCTAAAACAAAAATTCAGCATCAGTGCTCTTTATATGGAAAACCATGTCACTTAGCAAGACTCCTCAACTACGTTTAGCAAAACTATAATATTTGTCCTGAAGTTAATACTGTATTGTATATATTAAAACATATTATACAAATCTAGTTTCATTTTACATAATAAATGAATGTTCTTTCTCCTTGGGGAAAAAAGTTAATTTCATACAATATTTTCATTCATATTTTGTAATTATTAGTGGTATGCCAAACGTGTTAATGATTGAAGAATACAACATCATCACTTTTCTGGACTTCTCAACGCTTACATCTTCATACAATTATTTCACATGGTTACTTGGGTGTATGATATATCTATGACCAGTTTTAAATCTTCGTATTCCCATAGCCTGACCAGGGGTGAGGCCTCTATGGTGCTTGCCTGGTCAACAGGTTGTTGGTAGTTTGCTAGCTTACATATCCATCAATGCATGGTTCATCTAGTGCTTCTCTTAAGATATAAAGAAAAACACAAGACACATATACAGTGGACCCCCGCCTTACGATATTAATCCGTTCCTGAGAGCTCATCGTAAGCCGAAATTATCGTTAGCCGAATTAATTTTCCCCATAAGAAATAATGGAAATCAAATTAATCCGTTCCTGACACCCCAAAGTATTAAAAAAAAAAATTTTTTACCACATGAAATATTAATTTTAATACACACAAACTGAAGAAGACATGCACAGTTACTACTCTACTAAGAATAGAATACATGACACTTGCCTTTATTGAAGATCTGGTGATGATTGATGGGATGGGAGGAGGTGAGAGTGGAAGTTATTGTTTAGAAGGGGAATCCCCTTCCATTAGGACTTGAGGTAGCAAGTCCTTTTCTGGGGTTAGTTCCCTTCTTCTTTTAATGGCACTAGGACCAACTTGAGAGTCATTGGACTTCTGTCGCACAACAAATCTGTCCATAGAGCTCTGTACCTCCCATTCCTTTAAGACTTTCCTAAAATGGGCCATAACATTGCCAACACGGTTTGCAGTAGCTGTGTCAGGGTGATTTTCATCTGTAAAGGTTTGCAGTTCAACCCACTTCGCATGCATTTCCTTAATATCTTTTTTCAATTCCATACTAATTCTTGCCCTTTTTACCACAGGGATGGCACTAGAAGCTTTCTTGGGGTCTGTGGTGACTTATTTTGGAGTTACAAGCACTAAAAACACTGGGATAATGTGAAATGTACCAAATGTATGCATAGATGCGACCACACTGGCTGGCTTGTAAACACTGGCATTGAGGCCACACGTGGGACGCGTCCCAGACGAATAACGTAAGGCGAGTTTTTTATCATGAGGCGAGGCAAAATTTTTGCGTTCAAATGCTTCATATGGCGGATTTAACATAACGCGATGCGTTCGTAAGGCAGGGGTCCACTGTACCTTGAAGGTAAAAAAAAAAAAAAAAAAAGATTTCCCATACAAATAAACATTGTTTATTTTTTTAAATTAAAAAAAAAATACAAACAACAATGAGATGACCACTGTTCTCATGGGGCAGTCACTAGAGTAGCCCTAAAACAATCAATAAGCTCTTTATTCTAAATTGATTTAACTTTGCAGGTGCAAAGAACTGCTATGAAGTACATGTGATTTTTTTAACATACTGGTCGTCTCCCCACCGAAGTAGAGTGGCCCAAAAGAGAAGACACACTTTCACTATCACTCACTCTCATCACTTTCTTGCCGGAGGCACACTAATATTTCAGCTCAAAACAGCAAATATCCCCACCCCTCCTCCAGAGTGTAGGCACTATACTTCCCACCTCCATGACTCGAATCTGGATAGATTGGTTTCCCTGAATCCCTTCATAAATATTGCCTTGCTCACACTCCAACAGCACATCAAGTTACAAAAATGCTTATCTCCACTAACTCATATCTAACATGCTCACATACAATTCAACTATATCTTTTCTTTTTTATTTTTTTAACACATCAGCCATTTCCCACTGAGGCAGGGTGACCCAAAAAGAAAGAAAAATACTCTCATCATTCAACACTTTCACCATCACTCATACATAATCACTGTCTTTGTAGAGGCACTCAGATACAACAGATTAGAAGTCCCTCTAAACTGCCAATATCCCAAACCCCTCCTTTAACCCTCTGACTGTTTTGGTCGTATATATACGTCTTACGAGGTACCGTGTTGGACGTATATATACTCATAAATTCTAGCAGCTTCAAATCAAGCAGGAGAAAGCTGGTAGGCCCACATGTGAGAGAATGGGTCTGTGTGGTCAGTGTGCACCATATAAAAAAATCCTGCAGCACGCAGTGCATAATGAGAAAAAAAAACTCCAACCGTTTTTTTAATTAAAATGCCGACTTTGTGGTCTATTTTCGTATAGTATTTATGATTGTTTTCTTGTTTTCATGGTCTCATTTGATAGAATGGAAAACATATTATAGAACTAGAGGTGATTTTGATTGGTTTTACTATAAAAAAGAACTTGGAAATGGAGCTCAAAGTAGGGGAAATGTTTGATTTTTGCCCATGTTCAAAAGTAAACAAATGATGTCATTGTCCAATAAATGTCCAACTAGCCATTCTAATATGCAGTCATGAATGGGTTGACATTATTTATACAATTATTACAGTATTGCAGTAGTCTGCATAACAGTAAATTTTCTATTTTTTATTTGAATAAAAATTCATAATAGAAAGCACGAGTATTATCAGAGGGGCCTGAAGACATGACTGATGAACAAAGAAAATGTTATTTTAGAGCCAGGAATGTCTGCATTGTTCATTCTGGACCTTATTTTGAAATTGTCATATTTTTTAATTTTCGTGAAATTGGCCAAACTGCAAATTTCTGACCACGTTATTGGGTAGTTGAAATCGGTAAATGGGCAGTTTCTTGTACTCAATCGATAGAAAAAATGGAGTTCTAAAGAAATAGCTATGAGTCTGATCGACTGAACAATGGAATTAGCCGAAAACAGGGCTCAAATTGGGCGAAATCACCGAATTGTAAATATAGCTGAGGTCGCTAACTTCGCGAGAGCGTAATTCCGTCAGTTTTCCATCAAATTTCGTGTTTTTGGCGTCATTACAATCGGGAAAAGATTCTCTATCATTTCATAAGAAATTTTTTTTTTTTTGAAATTTTGCAACACCAGGAGACACCTCAGGATTGGGGGTTGCGACAGTCAAGGGGTTAAAGTGCCGACATTGTACTTTTCATTTCCAGGACTCAAATCCAGCTAACCAGTTCCCTGAATTCCTTCACAATATCTCTATAAAACCATAATTAATCAAAGAAGACAGGACACCACAAGGACATTACTACTTTGTAATACAGCCAACTACATTACAAAGTCATTAAATAAGGCAACACTAACCTTCTTCACTATCTGCTTTCTGAGGAGCAGGCATCCACTTTAAGAAGTTTGATATAAATTTATTTTCTTCTAGTAAAACACTCTTAACCTGAAAACACATTTATATTGTTAATGTAGCTAAATACTTTTAAGTGTAATGCCAAATATTTACTCAACAATATAAATGCAAAGTTGCAAGAATATTCAATATTCACTTTAATTTCTGAAATTTCTCACATGTAATCGGAAAGGCAGACAAAGTAATATCCAATCCATAATTGTTTCTATTAAAGCCACTTGGTCAAATCAGTGTTTTAAAGCACTTCCAAGATTTTTCTTTTTTACATCAGCTGCAGAAATTCCCGAGTGATGTGCAACAAATAAGACGGCTTACGTGTCTTTCTAAACCAACAAATAAGACCCACAATGCCTGTCCTTTCATTGCACACCTGAAAGATTACAAGTAGGACTACTAGCATTCCAACAGGGCTAGAATATCTTTTTTAATACTATATCATTACCATAATATACAGTGGACCCCCGGTTAACGAACTTTTTTCATTCCAGTAGTATGTTCAGGTGCCAGTACTGACTGAATTTTTTCCCATAAGGAATATTGTGAAGTAGATTAGTCCATTTCAGACCCCCAAACATACACGTACAAACGCACTTACATAAATACACTTACATAATTGGTCGCATTTGGAGGTGATCGTTAAGCAGGGGTCCACTGTATATGGTGTGGACTGTATGTTGAACGAGAGTTAATGTGTGAGTATCTAAGTGAATATGTACATGCCTGTGGGATAGTAGGGAAGAAACCTCATAACCCTCACAGTTACTTAATAAATAACTCCATGTCACAAAAGAGCACTCGAATGATACATACTACTTACCATGTAGTGACTGTAGCATGTCTCTGTTGGGGCAAAAACTATCTTAGCTTGGAGCTGCCCATAACTGACCCAGACACTGGTACACATTCAATAACTGTTTTGCAAGAGATGCAGCAGCACCAGGTCAAACTATTTCCTGAATCATAACATCCCTTATCCATCTATCAGAATGCATGCACTGTGCTTTCCACATTCTGAACTCAGGTCAGGTTGACAATTTTCCCCTCAATACCTTCATAAAGGTTGTCCTGCTCACACTACAAAACCACACAAATCCCATAAACTACCAGTCTCTGTGTTTTGCATTTGGTATAAATTTAAGTTCCTATTCAATTGTCCATTTGAACTTAAATAAAGCCTACAAAACTTTAGTTAAACAAGTTAAACTTTGTAACAAACTATGTTTGTATGTGCTTAGCAAAACTTTTTCCCTGCTGAGAGTACAAATGTTATGTCAAAACAGTTTCACTCCAAAAATCATATGCCATCACTCAAGTAGTGACTGATGGTCTAATAGCATCAATACTTACATATCTATTAGTCTAATAGTATTACTGTATCATATGGTGGGCATGGCATATCTTACTGTGCTGCGTAACAGCATAAAATTAACCTACTTATAAAGCAACAACACATAGTAAGAATTTCTGTGATTGAGAGTGCATCCTTTTTTGCACAGCACTGGAAAAAGGCTTGAGTGTATGTTCACTAAATGTGAAATTTTTTTTCTATCTGACCCCAAGCAGAGTCAATGAATCAAGTGTTAAAAGACACAAAGCTCCTTTCATTTCCTACTGTTACCCACAGTTGTTTTCTGGGATGTGGTATGTCATACTCTGTTTATCAAACTATTTTGAATTTTTTCATTATCTAATTTTATCTTTGGCTATTAGCCACTGTACCCAAGAGAATCATGAGTGATGCTGGAGGTGCCAAGGAGAAAACAGTAAGGCCTTGATTTAACCCTTTCAGGGTCCGTGCCGTAGATCTACGGCTTTACGTTGAGGGTCCAAACCGTAGATCTATGCCATGAGCTCAGCTCACCCTGATGAGCTGTGAGCGGTAAATTTGGGCCTAGATATGAGAGAATACATCTATGTGGTATGTGTGCACCACATAAAACAAATCCTGCAGCACACAGTGGATAATGAGAGAAAAAAACTGACACCGTAATTTTTGATTAAAACAGCAACTTTGCAGTGCTTTTTCGTATGTTTTTTTATAGTTATATTTGCGATTTCTTGGTCTCATTTGATAGAATGGAAGATATATTGCAGAAATAGAGATGATTTTGATTGGATTTAGTACTGAAAATGGCTTGAAACTGAGCTTAAAGTAGCAGAAATGTTAAATTTTTGCCAATGTTCAAGAGTAAACAAATGACCTCACATGTCTAATACATGCCAGCTGGTGGGTCTAATATATGTTCACAAATGTGCTGATATTATATATACAATTATTACAATATTGCATGACAGTATATCTTCTATCTTTTGGTTTGAATAAAAATTTATTATGTGAATTAAAAATCAAAATGGAATTAATTTGTACAGGCTGAAAACGTAACTGATAACAGAGGAAATGTTAGTTTAGTGCCAGGAATGCCTGCATTGTTTATTCTGGACCCTATTTTGAAATTGGAATATTTTGAACTTTGCACTAAATTGGCCAAATTACCAATTTGCAATCACTATTTTATAATTGAAACAGTTGAGTTGGCGATTTCTTGTCCTCGTTTGATAGAATAGAAGTAATACTAGTCAAATAGCTAAGAATTTGGTCGACTGGAATAAGGTAATTGGCCTAAAATGGGAGACAAAGTCGGCAAAATCGCCGCTGCGTAAATATCGCTGACACATCAAAATTAACGAGAGCATAATTTCCTCAATTTTCCATCAAATTTCGTACTTTTTGTTTTAGTACCTTCAGAAAAAAAATTATCTACCATTTCACAAGAAAAAATAACAAAGTTATTTTTTGAAAATTCTTGGACACTGGTGCGCACTTTGAAATTTGGCCTCTTGGCTCTGAAAGGGTTAATGGTCAAAATCCACTGCCCAGATGAAGACCAGAAAGAATGGACTTTGTTTCCAAATCAGACCCTGTCCACACATTTCCATGTCAACAAGCAATGACAATTACAGTGTAATGTTAGATAAACTGTGGTAATTTCTACCTTTTAGAATACAGGCTCTCCTCACTCAGCATCGTACTTGTTTACCGACGACTCGGACTTACGACGGGCTCTCTGACCAGTATGCATACCCAAATAATGTATATTAGAGCTGATTTCCTCTATTCTCTTTATTACAATACACAGTACACTACTGTATAAACATTTAAAAATATATCAGAAATGTTATAAATGGTGCAAAGGTAACATTAGAACATTATCAAAGATGGTTGACACAAACCCACTACCATTATAGTATGCTCCTGACTTAGCGACAAATTCATTTACCAACATGGTCTTAGGAATGAAACTCCATCGTTAAGTGAGGAGAGGCTGTATTTAAAAACAAAAGTTGTTTGGAAAATTTGGTGGTCTCTAGGCTAGAGCTATTTTTTTTCACGTATTCTTCACTTCATATACCATGAAGTTTCAGGCCATATCTTCCAAGTTATGCAAAGGTTTACTGTAAATACAATATAAAGTATGCAGTGTGACGTCTAACATTTAATTATGTAACGTCTCGGGTAGGTGTAGGAAATGTGCACAGGTATTACTGTGTAACGATGTACGTTACACCAAGTAAAAGAAGCTAAATAAAAACACACACACATACACTAAATGTGTGTGTGTTCATTCATCACACAAGTTAACAGTAGTACCATACTTACTTGTGGCCAATCAGTTAAGTCTGCTGCAATATCTGAGTTGTTGTCTGCAATGCACCCGCTGTCAATGCTCTCTGCTGCATCTTCAGTTTCTCTGTTATTTAATTCCAAGTGGCTCCTCTTCCTGCTACCTTCTGTGTTTTTATTTCCTTTTTTCTTTTTCTTTTTTTGATATGGTTCCTGTTCACTAGACAGAGGATCTTTACTTTCTACATTACCTTTCTGCTTGGATTTTTTATTTTTTTTATTGAACTTAGAGACAATATTATAACTTTCTGTCACTGTCTTTGTGTTCATTTCATTTGCTACACGACTTCGATGCCTTTTTTTAGACTTTGGTACTTCATTTATTACACTATTAACACCTAATACATCCTTTGCCATAATGAATTAATTTTGCACTAGCTGTTGGGAGAAAATATAAGTTTGATGAAAGACAAAAATATGGCTCAATAAGACAAGTTAGGCAACATTAATTTATATATGACCTAAAGAAAATAAAGATACAAACATTTTAAGAAAAAATTACAGTTAGGGTAAAGTCAGAGTACTTACAAATTCAAGCATCTGACAGAGTAAGCCATGTCATATAACAGTACTGTACTGTACATAAAAAACTGTTTGATGTTAACCTAGGATCTCTGCACTTTTTCCAGTTTCTAAACGTGCTTGACCAGGTGTGGGTTCCATTGTGTTGCTGCATACTCCAATATGGGCCTTGATATATATAGTGTAGTGTCTACATAGTGTCGTGAATGACTCCTTACCTGAAACTTAGGTAAGGTAATGGTACAGGTACAGGTAAAGGCACAGGTAAAGGTATGGTAAGGTCAAGGGCAAAGGTAAGGGTAAAGTAGTAGGTTGGTGTGTGTGCATACATTAAATTTTAGTTTGTTTTCATGGTGTATTCCTAAGAATTTACCCTTGTCCTGCCTATCAATTGGTGTACTGTTAATGTCAAAAGTCATAATAAGCAGTAGCTTGCCATAGAGACCAAAAGAGGAGTTTGGTTCAAAACATAATATCACCGTGACTCACGAAATCATAATGACACGATTGCAAACAAACCATACCATGGGCGGGATTGAACCCGTGGTCAGAGAGTCTCAAAACTCCAGACAGGGTGTTCAGTTGCACAATGTAATTAATACTGAAGAATTTACATAAACACCCAGGAAGTAAACACTGACTATAAAGTTAACATTAACCATAATGTAACCTAAATTATTCTGTCTGATAACCAATGGTACATTTTGCTATATATTAAGTCACAGAACTTGCTGCCTAGATAACTCGCTGACACTGACGATTTGAAAATTACTGAAGTTGCTAGATTAGTATTCTCTACGATTACAACTGTCTACTGTCTTGTACAGTAATATGTATGTATTACCTTCGGATAATTTAAAAAAATCAAAGTTAATTATTGTTCGTGAGGTCCCTGCAAGTTACAGGAATATTGTACATGTATGTATGTACATAGTACATACATATGTACATACATACATATATATATATATATAATATATATATATATATATATATATATATATATATATATATATATATATATATATATATAATATATATATATATATATATATATTAGATAGATAGATAGTGACATTTTGTAATTACTCAATATCTCCTTACAAATCTTCAAAGATAAGCACCATAACATTAAGTTTTTAGTTAGGATTTATGTACATACATTTTTTTAAAGGCCTTGAGGACTAGATATTTGGTGCACTTAAAAAATATATACTATATAATGTATACTTAACCTAGGATAACCAAATAGTCAAAGAATGTAACTTTATACATTTCACATTAATGTCACTGACGAGGACCACAATGAAAACAATAAGTTTATTTAGACACAGGTATACAATAACAATTATCATACTTAGTGTAAATTACCTAGAATAACAAAAGTCTAAGTGACATTTCCAAGACACGTTATCCTAGGTAATTTACAGATACGTTGCTATGTATAATAATTGTACTTATATGTACCTGTACCCAAATAAACTTACTAATACATGGGAAGTTTGTTATAAAATACAAACTGCACTGATTATTATTATTATAATCAACGGGAAGGCGCTAAACCCGTAGGAACAAACTGCACTGACTTAAGCAATATGGAAACTTTTAGACGAATATTCTTTTGGTTTTCTCGAAGAACATTTTTTTTCAAATGAAAAGTCGCCCTATATAAAATTCCCATAGTGTCTACTCCAACAAAAGAAATTATAATGTAGAAATTTAAAAACACGTTCCCACACAGTACATTAACGGTAATCCCATAACATATTTCAGCCTCCACTTCCCTTAACTGCTGTTTTAATGAACTTTATTTAAGCAGACCTATTTCAGCATTGCTTCCCATTAAAGCAGATACATTACATTACGCAAATTATAATAAGCTTGCAAATCCTCGAGGGATATCAGTCCATTATTAACACTTATTTCCCCCTAGACTACACATCCCTAGAGCTCCCTGTATGACCTATGGCTAGTCAATCACCTGCCATTACCTCAGTAGTACACCTCCTCTCACCTACCTCCTCTATACCACCAAAATTCTGAAATTCTTCAAAAAATTCTGAAAGTAAAGCAGCACATGTGGGGCGACTGCCATGACACCATCACACATACAAACATTTCGTGACAAAATAACAACGAGAATGCAAACGAACAGATATTTAATGTAATTGGAATATTGTTCATTATAAATGGTAAATGATGTATAATGAGACATGATATAATTTTTTTTTTATCAGATGGTTGGATTACGTGGAAGTGTGTGGAGACGCTGCTGATGGAGTGGTTACCATGGTAACAGCGTCCATCTCTGGTAACTGCTCACAACATCCCCTCATGGAAGGTTCCTTGATGTTAGGATTTCGGATTTCGTTCGGATTTTTAACCCCGGAGGGTTAGCCACCCAGGATAACCCAAGAAAGTCAGTGCGTCATCGAGGACTGTCTAACTTATTTCCATTGGGGTCCTTAATCTTGTCCCCCAGGATGCGACCCACACCAGTCGACTAACACCCAGGTACCTATTTGCTGCTAGGTGAACAGGACAACAGGTGTAAGGAAACGTGTCGAAATGTTTCCACCCGCCGGGAATCGAACCCGGGCCCTCCGTGTGTGAAGCGGGAGCTTTAGCCACCAGGCCACCGTTGGTGGGGCTCTTGATTTAGGGAATTGGATCTGTGCTCCAGTTCCCCGAATTAAGCCTGAATGTCTTCCACATCCCCCCTCCCCTGGGCGCTGTATAATCCTACGGGTTTAGCGCTTCCCCCTTGATTATAATAATAATAATGCTCACAACATACATGTTTGTTTAGTAAGTAAAAAAACTGAGTGAGTGAGTTAGTGAATGAGTCAATGAATAACTGGATGAGTGAGTGAATGAATGAGTTAATGAATGACTGGATGAGTCAATGAATGCATCAATGAGTGAATGAGTGGATGAATGAATGGGTGTATGAGTCAATGAATGAATTAGATGAGTGAGTGAATGAGCTGAATGAGTCAATGAGTGACTGAATGAATGAGACAGTCAGTGAGTGAGTGAATTAGTGAATAAGTAAGTAAATTTATTTAGGTACAATTACACAAATTTTGGATAATTATAATTACTTATTTGGATTACTGAGTTACTTTGGCTTATTTGGTTTAAATCCCACCTACTACACGAGGGTCATCAAGGCTTCACGTTCCCTATACACCACTAGTTAATTATACATTAATCTCTAAAGCAGGGATTGTAGTAACTTCTCAGAGCATGTTAGTTCAATAATCCTTATTATTCATCCCCCATACCCATCCTTCAGTGTATGTATACACTGAGAAATACACATCTCTAATTATTATTATTATTATAATCAAGGGGGAAGCGCTAAACCCGGAGGATTATACAGCGCCTGGGGGGGGGGGACGTGAAAGGCATTCAGGCTTAATTCGGGGAACTGGAGCACAGATCCAATTCCCTAAATCAAGAGCCCCTCACCAACATCAAGGAACCTTCCTTGAGGGGTACACATCTCTAAGAAGCACTGTTCCAGCTATCTTATACTTGGTCATTTATATACAATTTTAAGTTTTCTTTCATGTCACAGTGCCACCTGTATTCTGATGTGTCTCTCATATTCCAAAGCTTTTGAGTTCTGCATAGGTTAGTAAGCTTATTTGTTACAGGTACACATAAATACAATTATCATACCTAGTAACATATGTTGACCCCCAGAGCATCTTCCAGGTATATTCCGGGTGTGTGATTACCTAGGGTAACCCAGAAAAGTCGGTGACTATTTGTGTGGTTCATACACTGGATTACATTAAGATACATCAGTCATTAAATATTGAAGTTATTCAGATGTAGACACAATCCCACGAGGCCTGGTCTCAGACCGGGCCGAGGGGGCGTTGACCCCTGAAACCTTCTCCAGGTATACATGTGATTGTGATGATTAAACGGGAATCGAAATTTCACACAATTCAACACATAAAATGGCCAAATTTGAATTTCATTCTCTGCAATAGTCTAATTAAAAAAGTTATCAATAGTGAATACTAAAATAAATAATATTAATTATCAAAGACATAGAAGAGAAGAATTTTTTTTAAGTGATCAGGTGCTATCAGCTGAGATCCCCAGGGGCTCCCTCTTACCCCCTTTAGTTTTTTTTTTTTTAGGCCACTTCACATTGTGCCTTGCGGCATTATTCATTGGCACTGATTTCTCAGTTTACGTCACTGCTCAGTTTACTTCACTGTTCAGTTTACTTCACTGCTCAGTTTACGTCACTGCTCAGTTTACGTCACTGCTCAGTTTACTCACTGCTCAGTTTACTTCACTGCTCAGTTTACTTCACTGCTCAGTTTACTTCACTGCTCAGTTTACGTCACTGGTTCTCACTGAGTGAGAACAATTAGGTCATTTGAAGAAGTTCGAGTCTGGAGTTTACCTGGAGTTTACCTGGAGAGAGTTCCGGGGGTCAACGCCCCCGCGGCCCGGTCTGTGACCAGGCCTCCTGGTGGATCAGCGCCTGATCAACCAGGCTGTTGCTGCTGGCTGCACGCAAACCAACGTACGAGCCACAGCCCGGCTGATCAGGAACTGACTTTAGGTGCTTGTCCAGTGCCAGCTTGAAGACTGCCAGGGGTCTGTTGGTAATCCCCCTTATGTGTGCTGGGAGGCAGTTGAACAGTCTCGGGCCCCTGACACTTATTGTATGGTCTCTTAACGTGCTAGTGACACCCCTGCTTTTCATTGGGGGGATGTGCATCGTCTGCCAAGTCTTTTGCTTTCGTAGTGAGTGATTTTCGTGTGCAAGTTCGGTACTAGTCCCTCTAGGATTTTTACCAAGTTCAATTCTTATACTTTATCACCACTTTCGCCTTTAGAGTGGCTTATTATTTATCTTCATATTCAGGTGAATATTTGTAGCTTTGTTCCCAAACATTATTTAGTGTTATAAACAGCCATTCTGTATTGATGACAATATATATCTTTCCAGGTTCGACATTAACTGTGTTGTTAGCACAGCCGAATCTGTTTTTGATATTGTCTTCGAAGAGAATTGATTTAAGTTCCTGTAAAGCATTAGGGAGGTCGTTGATGTAGATGAGGAACAGTAAAGATAATGTCTAACTTGTGTATGGAGTCTGGGATTTTGCTGGGTAGATTTGTTTCTAGAGTCAAGAACAATTATTTTTGATTTGTTTACTGTACTTCTTTCAAAATGTTCATGAGTCACGACATGGGGTTTATGGTATTTTTGTTAGATGTTTCATCTATTTTATTAATTTTCAACTGATACCTGGAGAGAGTTCCGGGGGTCAACGCCCCCGCGGCCCGGTCTGTGACCAGACCTCCTGGCGGATCAGAGCCTGATCAACCAGGCTGTTACTGTTGGCTGCACGCAAACCAACGTACGAGCCACAGCCCGGCTGGTCAGGAACCGACTTTAGGTGCTTGTCCAGTGCCAGCTTGAAGACTGCCAGGGGTCTGTTGGTAATCCCCCTTATGTGTGCTGGGAGGCAGTTGAACAGTCTCGGGCCCCTGACACTTATTGTATGGTCTCTTAACGTGCTAGTGACACCCCTGCTTTTCATTGGGGGGATGTTGCATCGTCTGCCAAGTCTTTTGCCTTCGTAGTAAGTGATTTTCGTGTGCAAGTTCGGTACTAGTCCCTCTAGGATTTTCCAGGTGTATATAATCATGTATCTCTCCCGCCTGCATTCCAGGGAATACAGGTTCAGGAACCTCAAGCGCTCCCAGTAATTGAGGTGTTTTATCTCCGTTATGCGCGCCATGAAGGTTCTCTGTACATTTTCTAGGTCAGCAATTTCACCTGCCTTGAAAGGTGCTGTTAGAGTGCAGCAATATTCCAGCCTAGATAGAACAAGTGACCTGAAGAGTGTCATCATGGGCTTGGCATCCCTAGTTTTGAAGGTTCTCATTATCCATCCTGTCATTTTTTAGCAGATGCGATTGATACAATGTTATGGTCCTTGAAGGTGAGATCCTCCGACATGATCACTCCCAGGTCTTTGACGTTGGTGTTTCGCTCTATTTTGTGGCCAGAATTTGTTTTGTACTCTGATGAAGATTTAATTTCCTCGTGTTTGCCATATCTGAGTAATTGAAATTTCTCATCGTTAAACTTCATATTGTTTTCTGCAGCCCACTGAAAGATTTGGTTGATGTCCGCCTGGAGCCTTGCAGTGTCTGCAATGGAAGACACTGTCATGCAGATTCGGGTGTCATCTGCAAAGGAAGACACGGTGCTGTGGCTGACATCCTTGTCCATGTCAGATATGAGGATGAGGAACAAGATGGGAGCAAGTACTGTGCCTTGTGGAACAGAACTTTTCACCGTAACTGCCTCGGACTTTACTCTGTTGACTACTACTCTGTGTTCTGTTAGCGAGGAAATTATAGATCCATCGACCGACTTTTCCCGTTATTCCTTTAGCACGCATTTTGTGCGCTATTACGCCATGGTCACACTTGTCGAAGGCTTTTGCAAAGTCTGTATATATTACATCTGCATTCTTTTTGTCTTCTAGTGCATCTAGGACCTTGTCGTAGTGATCCAATAGTTGAGACAGACAGGAGCGACCTGTTCTAAACCCATGTTGCCCTGGGATGTGTAACTGATGGGTTTCTAGATGGGTGGTGATCTTGCTTCTTAGGACCCTTTCAAAGATTTTTATGATATGGGATGTTAGTGCTATCGGTCTGTAGTTCTTTGCTGTTGCTTTACTGCCCCCTTTGTGGAGTGGGGCTATGTCTGTTGTTTTTAGTAACTGTGGGACGACCCCCGTGTCCATGCTCCCTCTCCATAGGATGGTAAAAGCTCGTGATAGGGGCTTCTTGCAGTTCTTGATGAACACGGAGTTCCATGAGTCTGGCCCTGGGGCAGAGTGCATGGGCATGTCATTTATCGCCTGTTCGAAGTCATTTGGCGTCAGGATAACATCGCATATTGTGTTTTATTAGCATACTTGTTGGTATATTTTACCATTAATGTATATATATCTTTCCTTCAGACTATGGCAGCTGAAGTGAACACTGGCGAGTCTTTAAACACCAATGTGCAACTATTGGCACCCGAGACCACAGAGACCAGTGTACAACCACTGGGACCTGAGACCAGTGTACAACCACTGGGACCTGAGATTACAGAGACCAGCGTACAACCATTGGGATCCGAGATCACAGAGACCAGTTTACAACCATTGGGACCCAAGGCCACGAAAATCAGAGAGAGACTCCGCAACAACCTGGATGAGTGAGAACATATTGTTTTTCCACTTGCCATGATCATAATTGTTATATCCATATCCATCGTGTGGGCGGTAACCAAATGATTACAGAGACAAATTCTGGGTAACAATGGTACCGAACTGGTAATAATCGTAACGAATTGTTTACTTAGACGTGAATTAGGTCACAGGAAAAGGGCACATTTGTAACATTTAGGGATCGTTATTACCAAGACGTTACGTCTTCTTCATCGGATACATTAGTGACTAGTGTATTTGAGACAGTTGTAAGACAAGTAGGGGAATGTCTTATTCATCTACTTGTCGGTCTTGAATATATTAATATAATGAGCCACGGGAACATTACAATATAATTAAATGTGCGTAGGAGTTATCTATATTAGCACTCAATATTTTAGCAAGTTATGGTTGAATTTTGACAAGCTTAATTAACTATATTATTAATATTATATATAAGAAGCAGTACACCAGTAGGGGCACACAACGTCTGCAAAATGGGAGGCACTCAATTTCGACCCAAGGAAGAGAACAGTCCAAATCCTTGTATCAAGTGCCCCTCACTAGCATCAAGGGACCTCCCCCGAGGAGTATTGACAATGTGAGCGCGTCTCTCAGATTGAAAGTTAAGCATTTTTAAGTGTGGTCAGTAACTGGAGAGATAACCACATAACTAAAAAGATTGTATGTAACAAACCAATGAAAAATTTACTGATCGTCGAGGGGTATGCCATGATCAAATATTGGTTTATTAGGTATAAAACCTATCGTCTACAACAGGGTCATGAATGAAGTTTAAGAATTACATCTTTGTTATGCACCCTATACCCATCCAGTGGGTGGTTGTCGAAGCATTACAGGCACATAATAGGTCCAGGGACTTGGTTCCAAAGTGTTGATAGCTAAGCAAGGATACTTGAAATCCAAGAATAGGAATTAAGGTCTCAGTGTATATGCTCTAGGTCTAGGAGATACTTATTGCCCAAATTATATATATGTACTGTCGTCCGCAGAGATCACCAGAGAGGGAGACTGATCTATCTGATACGTTTTTCACTGTGGTTACTTTGCATAAAGTAATTATTGAGAGAATATGAATACTAATTGAGATGATATCACCAGTGAGGAGAACACCGAGTTGAGCAGAGAGGACGCAAGTGTGTTAAAGGCTACACAGTCAGGAGAGAGGTTCACTCATGCTCTCCTTCACCATGAACACACCCTACACACCCTTGTGAAGCATGGATGTACCATGGTGAGTTAAGCTTACATCAATGCAAGAAGTATGAATATAAGTCACATTGTCGTGGCCGGAACAATCCACCACTCAATTTACAAATGAAAACTGGACGAGGCTTTTGGTCCCCAGCCATTTTTTGTTTTACACATATCGATTTTATAGGCTAAGAGCTGTTATCTTACCTCAGCCCATTTCCTTCAGTCGATTAGATTACTTCCTATTCCCCAAGTCGCTCCCACTATAAAATAAATTAGGGGATTAAATAGACAATTAGTGTAGTTATGGATAATTGAGGTGGTAACGGTAGTGCTTACAGATAGTAGATTACGAGGGATAACTGGAGTGGTGATGCAGGTAGGGAATGTGGAGGTGGCGGCACTGAGTGGAGAGGTAGCAGCCGTGGTGGAAAGTGAGGGACGTCAGGACGAATGGAGGAAAACCTTGGAGGAGGACACCCGCAAGACCAACCTAGTACTGGAGAAGATACAACAGTACTGGCAAGACGCTATCACACTTGCTGTGCCTGAGGAGCTCTATGACAGTCTGTGTCAGCTGAAAGGTCAGTGTCGGCTACGAGGACAGTATTAGGTACAAAGTCTTTGTCAGCTACAAAGTCAGTGTCAGATACAAGTGCAATGTCAGCCACAAGATCTTTGTCAGCTACACAGTCAGTGTAAGCTGCAAAGTCAGTGTCACCTGTACGGTCAGTGTCAGCTGCAAGGTTTAGTGGCTCATTTCACTTCCAATCCTTTCAAGGAGTTGCCGCAATGCCTTGAAGGGTTCCTGATCCAAAGAATTGGAGCTGCCTTCCCCTTGGATCAAGCCTAATTACCATTCACTAGGAGCTATATGACCCTTGTGGGTTTTGCCCTGGCCAATGGATTTAATAATAATAAATAATTCTTGCACTGACCACGTTCGCTTAACAGCAAATAGGTACCAAGGAGTTAGTTAAGTGTTGTGGGATGGGTTACACTGGGTAAATAAATTTCCTTGGTTCAATAACTCTAAAGATGCCATCCACTACGTACGCCAGAGTGGAGCCAGGAGTTGATAGAACAGAAGCAGCAGGTGATTGAGGGTTTGCGGGAAGAGCTTCGAAGCCTGGACATCACCTACACAGAGGAGATGCTGCAACATACCCGCCAGAGGTGCGAGTTGCTGCGTCGCATCATAGAACACGTCACAGAGCTACACCAATCCTACCGCGCCTCCCTTAGACAGGTCCAGGTGCGTCACTTGGCGTGCATGAGCGTGTTCGATAGGAGTGAATGGAGACGAATGGTATTTGGGACCTGACGATCTGTTGGAGTGTGAGCAGGGTAATATTTAGTGAAGGGATTCAGGGAAACCGGTTATTTTTATATAGCCGGACTTGAGTCCTAGAAATGGGAAGTACAACGCCTGCACTCTAAAGGAGGGGTTCGGGATATTAGCAGTTTGGAGGGATATGTTGTGTATCTTGATACGTATATACTTCTAAACTGTTGTGTTCTGAGCACCTCTGCAAAAACAGCGATTATGTGTGAGTGAGGTGAAAGTGTTGAATGATGAAAGTATTTTCTTTTTGGGGATTTTCTTTCTTTTTGGGTCACCCTGCCTCGGTGGGAGACGGCCGACTGTTGAATATATATATATATATATATATATATATATATATATATATATATATATATATATATATATATATATATATATATATATAATATATATTATATATAATATATATATATAAATGTCGTGCCGAATATGTAAAACTGGTCAATTAGCAAGAACTCATTTAAAATTAAGTCCTTTCTAAAATTTTCTCTTATACGTTTAAAGATATATTTTTTCATTAATGTTAATGTAAAAATTATAATTTTGCACCAAAAGAATCTTAGAAAACTTACCTAACCTTATTATAACAAGAACAATTTATTTTAGCCTAACCCAACTAAATATATTTTAGGTTTGTTTACAATAATTTAATACTAAACAAACACAGTGAAATATATTTTTTTCGTTAGGTTCAGAATGATTTTGGCGAAATTATTGCATACACAAATTTTCGCTTGTCTTATATGGCAAGATGAGCGTTGCTATTTAAGCCAAGATCGCAAGTTCTGCCTATTCGGCCGACATATATATATATATATATATATATATATATATATATATATATATATATATATATATATATATATATATATATATATATTATAATATATTAATATATTAAATAAATGTGTGTGTGAATGAAGTCTTTGAGAAGGCTCTATTGTGGGTGAAAGTGCTTATGAGTGAGAACTTTCTATGAAAAATCTCTTGGGAATGTTGCGGTTTTTTTTATTCTTTGGATCGTGATGTTCCATGCACTACTATAGAGACAGATGGAGAACGAGTGATGGTGAATATCTTGTTCATAAAAGAAAAAGTGCTCCAAGTTAGACGAGAAATGTTGGTGTTTGCAGGAGGTGGCAGACAAAGAGAGGGCAGGTCTAGTACAGTACTACGGAGAGGTGTGGGATGAGGCTGTGACCGAGCTTAACCAGCAGTTACAAAGGCTCCTCCACGAACGCCTTCACAACAGGACTTCACGTATGGAGCAGATCATCGAACTCAAACTTCACGGTGCCGCCCCCTACACTGCCATCAAGGACAAACTTGACTCTGATATCGAGAAGGTTGGTGCTCAGAGAAAATCAATGTACCTCACCAGGTTTGCATTGAAGAATGACTTCACGCATACATAAAACACCATAGCTATTATTATACTTTTCTATTTAATTTATGTTATTCTGTCTAGAGTATTTTTAAGCATGTTATTTCAGTCTAGCTGAACAGAAAAGAGTGAAGCCAACGTTTACTAGTTGTGGAAAATTGCATTTAGCTGAATGTATCATTATTTACATAACGGTAAATGAACAAAGATAATTATTATTTATCAGTTAGACAAGTAGGAATTTGGGACACCTAGGTCGCAAAAAATGTCCCCCTTCGATACCTACCACTGTCATATCCACAAGTTGCTCTGGACCTATTAATTACAAATGAAAAATACATCACCAGGAATGCTGGTAAATATATAAATTTGTGGACTGTATATTAAATTAAAAAATGATTATATATAAACACATATACATAACAGAAGGAGAATATCTTAAAATCATAACACTCACCAATTTGACTGGAGATTAATGTGTCATGTACAGGACCCCCCTTTTGCCTACATTTATGAAGAATTTTACTGGCCAGAAATTAAACATAAATTAGACAGCTTATCTGAGGTTCCTGGAGTTGTCCTCTCCTGTCGCCTGATACTCAAATTATGCAGGAATGCACATCCAACAATTTCGCCTCCTGTTTGAGAGGTGTCAGCCCGATTTTAACCTCTAGAGCACGAAAAATTCTTCCCATTATTCACGACGTGTTATTCAATTCAAACAAAATGGCGACTGACCTCCCCAGCCGCAGGTTTCCCATTTTCGATAACATACTTCTTTTAAAAATACAATATAGGGCATCTATTTACCTATAAATTACCGTATTTCCGGAAAATATGTACAGTATTTTCCACACTAGTGTTGATTATTATATGTAATTATATTCATGAAGAACGCTAAACCCGTAGGAGTAACTGAACATGACTGTAACCGTACCACCCAGCTCCGGACCTTAGGAATGGGATGTAATCAGATTTGATCCAAGGAAGGGGAGGGTAGCTCTAATTGCTTGGATCGAGAGCTCTTCATCGACATACAACTAGTACTCTTTGAAGAGGTACTAGTGTTGAACGAGGAATTTTAAATGCATGTAAATTCACACTGTGATAAGTGTTGGAGCCGAATGATTAAGTCGCTTTGCATCACATAGAAAGAAATTTCTCAGTCATATTAATATTTGCCTGTGTTACTTGTATATAGGAGGATGGACTTCATCACTATGGTCAGTCTTTTTACATCCAAGCTGTATGCCCCATATAAGTTTAGCTCTTGTTTTCGAATATAACGATAATCCTCCTCCTCCTCCCTCTTTATCTCTGATTCGATGCGTTTTGCCTAATTTGGTCTGTCCATGTTGAGGACAATCCCCGGTCGGGGAAATCAAGGACAGTCACAAAGATGGACTACAACAGGTCTCAGAGCGGTAAGGGGCCCCGATGATACCAACTTTTTAAACTGCATGCAGTGTTTGCACAGGTGATGGTAGAGGTGATGCGAGTGAAGGCGGCGCAGCAGGTGGAGGAGAGCCAGCTGAGGTACAGCCAGCAGGTGCTACAGCAACAGTATCGAGAGACCACCGCCCTCGTCAGTGAAGCTCGTCGAACTCTTAACGCTCTCACACCCAAACTAAACAACTACAGGAGGAAGGTGAGGCTTTGTCATCTGTGTGTCTCCTGCCAATAAACATCCAGAGGTGAATATCTCTCGTTCTGATTGTGGGATTAAACTATTCTTGGAATTAGCGTAAATGTGAATAGCAACCATAATTAACTGCTAGTGGACGTTGTTTCCTGTCATTGTGTTCCGCGGGTGTTAAGGGCAATATCTTTACTATGCACACCATACCCGTCCTGTGGGCGGTAGTCAAAAGATCAGAGGTACATAAAGGGTCCAGGGACTGCGCGACAAGGTTTTTGATAGCTGAACAAATTACAATGGTAATGAACTTTACATGTTTAATCTGGTCACAATCGTAATGAGTTATTTAGGACGGACACACATACAACGTGGTAATGCTTTATTTACAGTGAACAAAGTCGGGGTATTTTTCCCAGAATGGTTTATAATATACCACTGTGGATAAAATACTTTGACATATCTTGAACATTTCTGAGTAAGTTGTCTCCTGAATTCATCAATTTTATCGCATTCCGGTGCATAATGACGCAAAGTGTGACAAATGTCCATCTGGCAAAGTTTACATTTCGTTAAGTCTATATCTAGTGGTGATTTAACCTCCCTGGTGACATCTTCGTTTTCAAATTTTGCTTTTTGTTGTTTACTTTTCCATCTTTTCAGTGTTGCACCTCTTGGGTGAAAGAGGGAGACATTTTAGGGTTAAATAACTTTAAGGTTGTCTTCTTCCTTATAGGACTTTTGCTATAAGGAACTGGAGCTATTTTCCCCAACCTTTGATCAAGCCGGATCACCTTCCATTATCCAGGCGCCCTTCATGGATGTAACACTTCCCCATGAATACAGTAATAATGTTTTCTTCTACTTTGCAGGCGGAGGCAGCAGAGGACCGACGTGTAGCAGGAGAGAGGGCGACGGTGCAGGAGAGGACGAGGATGCAGGAGTTAAATAAGCAGTATCGGCAACGTCTGACTTCCACCAACGCCACCTTCAGCCAGCGAGTGCAGGGGCTCTGTCGCATGCATTACCAGGAACTACATGCCCTCGTCATGCAGGTCTCTTTATCTCTCGACTTTTATCCAAACTTATAGGTGTAATAAACTGAGTTGCTGATGCAAACGATCCAATATGCATTTGTATTTTTATTTGATTCGTGTGGAATGCTAAACCCACAAGACTCGTACAACATCAGGGATTCCATATGAAGACAATTTGCTGAAGGCGTCGGTGTGAAACCGAGATATACTGTACTCGTCTTTTGTGTCTTAATGTCTACATTTAGCTGTCTGTCTGCATTTTATATTGAGAGATCATTTAGAGAGCAAACACTAATATTATCATATGCTATATATACACAGTTCATGAAGTAAGGAATGCTCATTAAGTGTCTGGTTTAGCTAGCATCAGTCTCTTTATTGTACATTTCATTTAGCATTACACGTTATATTTTAATACAGTAATTTAATTTATAGGTAGTACAGATCTAGGGCTCATTTGTCCAGTATTTACAGATAATTTTTTTGACACATTTTATTGTAAAAATCATAAAAAATACTACTTCATATTTTAAAAGCAGTTACTGTGACACACTCTGAAGTAGGAAAACAGATTAGTCTGTAAAAACGAGTAAAAATATATAAACAAAGGTTGTCATTACAGCTAAAGTCGTAGCCACAAGTTACAGGGGCGGTCACGGACCGGGCCGCGTGGGCGTTGACCTCACAACACGCTCCAGGTATACTCCGGGTATGTGTGGCACATCCATCATTGCTCATTGGCTACTCATTGTTGTAGTTACTGAAGCGCTAAACTCGCGTGGGTGATTCAGCGCAAGTAGGCTCGGCCCGATCCCAAGCCATACATTTCTATTAGTAATGAAAATGTGAATTTTCCTCCTCTTTTTTTAGGTTTCCCCTCGTTACTGTCTGTGACGAGTTTAGAGCTTCACATTAGTTATGTGCAGCTTCATTGTTAGATATTCCTTAACTATGAAATTAGGCCTATCATATTTCAAGTGTGGGTATGGTTACCGAAGGTGGTGGAGGTAGAGCGAGCCATCCAGCACGGAGTGTATGCGAGGGAGTGGGTTGAGCCTGATCTCTCCGCTCTCACAGACCTGGCCCCACAAGCACCCAACTTGCGGCACACAGGTGCACTCCACGCTGCTACCAAGATCCTCAGGCCCTCTCAAGGTCAGCACTAAATAGAATTCTTGCTTTCTGCATGTCGAGATTGCTGTTAGAATTGAGTGCATATACTTACTGTTGACCAGGCACTGTGTATCGCCACCAATGGAAATAAGTCACTGTCTGACTTTTTGGCTTATCCAAGGCTCTCTTTACATATTCTGCTATGTATGATATCTATGTAACTGTATTTGTGTATACCTGAATAAACTTACTTACTGACCAGTGTATCAACCACTAGTACTTAGGTGTTTTTTGTGTTATCACCATGACAGATGGGTCAGTAGATGGGGAAGGAGGCAGACCGAGCTTGAAGGAGCAGTTCCTAACCAGCCTGGCGGAGGACGCAGCTTTCCTTATTACTGCCGACACCTCACACCTTGCGTGTCATGGTCCTCTCCTCATGCTCGAACATATATTTTGGGTATGTCACGTCTCTGGCGCATGCTCTTTATATCCATACCTTAAGGACCTCTGCTTATGTTTGTAAAATAACTTGGATAACGCAGAAATATCTTGCTGATTATGGGGCTCTCAAGATCCGCTTTTTTACCTCTCTATTTATATATCTTGAGCTTTTGCATCGGTACGGATTGCAATGGTACATAATGGGTACAGGGACTGGGCCCCAATATTATGTTAGCTAAGTTTCAATGTATCAGCTTAGTAAAGAACCCCCTACTACAGGTGCTCTGTATTTAAACTTATATTGCCCAACAATATTGGTTCCCTTGCCTCTTGGGCCCAGTTGTATCTACTGTGTAATATATGTATGGAACTTTCGTGTACCCCATGCTCAGAAGTTCATCTCACTCCCTTGCAACAGGAGTTGGGTGTGCACTCGGAAAGGGACGTGGTGCGCCTCCTGCAGGTTGCTCAGCGACGTGTGTCTCAGCGTTCCCTGGAGTTGCCTGACAGGTACACCAACTTTTATTTTCGTATCTTTAACAAGGGCCTTGGGGTGCTTCACAAGTAAAACCTAGGGGTTATTTTTTTGTGTCCATTATTTTTTATTATGCATGTGTGATAACGTAATTGTATGGCTCATAGCATTTAAAAAAAAATGTACACGATTTGCCGCACTTGCTGTGTGGCGCAACACATTACAGTTGTATATAGTTCTGCTGTCTTCTAATTATGTCCTAGAATCTGTATTAATAAAGCCACTGGATGGCGAAACGTCTACAATAAAGATATCCAGATGTTGCACATGTGTCTAAACTTTCACATTAAAGTAAACTCACCTCTAGGAGCAAAATCTCATATTTAATCTTGTTTCAGGAGGGCTGAGGTCAATGAGGTTAGCGGTAGTGGCGACGAAGGCAGCCTACTAACAAGTTAGTATTGTGCACTGCTACATTAGCTATAATGTACACTACACACTACAATGCCATGTACACTAGGCTATATAATTCATAAGGCTATACAAAAAAAATCTTTTGTAAAGATGTTAAAACATTAGCACAAAACAAGAGACACTAAATTAACTTCTTATTTGATAAATTTCAACAATATAGTATTTTTTAACGATAAATATATGTGACCCTTTATTTTCATTGTTTTTGTTATATCTATGCCCTATATTCCTCTTTCAGGAAGTGAGCGATTGTTTACTACAGAAGACGTATTGAATGTGCTTATAGAATTCTTAAATGACAGGTGAGTATACCTACGAGGATGGTGGTGACTTCTTGACCTTTGACCTTTTCTTTTAACTATCGGTTGACTAGCACGAATTAGCTCTCCTGTGACTGAGCTTCTACCGCGTCGGTGACTGAGTTGTTCCACGTTTTTATTATCCTGAAGAAGTGTTGTCTCATGTTCCTGTGACTCGACTCATTGTATTGATTCCATTCATGTCTTCTGGTTCTGGATTTGTTCTTACTAAAAATGTCCATAGTTTATATATTGCAGAAGTATTTTGTATATCAAGATAAGAGATAAGATAAGAGTTCGTTCGGATTTTTAACCCCGGAGGGTTAGCCACCCAGGATAACCCAAGAAAGTCAGTGCGTCATCGAGGACTAACTTATTTCCATTGTGGTCCTCAGTCTTGTCCCCCAGGATGCTGTGCGTTCCTCCATGGCTCAGAAATGTGAAAATGGTATGGTGATACAGACGAGATGTGCAAACATACGTAGAGTTCAGGACATTTATTTGTGGAAACGTTTCGCCACGAGTGGCTTCTTTCAGAAGCTACTCGTGGCGAAACGTTTCCTCTAATAAGTGTCTTGAACTGTACACGTATCTTGTTACTCATCAGAGATGTGGCTTGCGTAGACATTCCTCTTGAACTCGATCCTTCCATCCTCACCCTAGTCTAGAGGAGTATTGTATCTTGGACCTTTTTAGTTTCGCTTTGGTGCCGGGGAAGAGCTCTTGATCAAAGGGACTGGATTTATCCTTCCCTTCCTTAGATCGACTCTGAATGCTTCTTATTCCCCAGGCACTATACGACCCTAACTGGTTTAGTGCTTCCTTCTGATTAAAAATACGTCAACAGCTTTCTGATGTAGGGTTCCAAAGTGGGTTGATCAGAGCAAGAATACATATATGATGTATTGTGTTTTGAAGACATCTTTGGATTTCCAAATGCTTACCTGGAGAGAGTTCCGGGGTTCAACGCCCCCGCGGCCCGGTCTGTGACCAGGCCTCCTTAGGTCAGTGTCCCAGGATGCGACCCACACCAGTCGACTAACACCCATCGACTAACACCCAGGTACCCATTTTACTGATGGGGAACATAGACAACACAGGTTGAAAGAAACACGTCCAATGTTTCTACATCTGGCTGGGAATCGAACCCAGGCCCTCGCCGTGTGAAGCGAGAGCGTTAACCACCAGGCCACCAGAGCCCCACATTTTTTTAGCTGCACATTTTTTTTACTAATCTATCATATCTTTTGACCATGCCCACAGTATGGGTATGAAGTGCATAATAAAAATATTAAACTAACATATACCGCTGTTATTGTCTTCGGGAGATTAAGGGGCTAGTTTTGGTGCGATGCTGCTTCAAGGTGTTTTGCCTTGATTCCATGAGTTGTCTTCACGGAGGGTACTCTCTTCTCTACTTTCCCCGACCTATTTCAGTAAACTGTTTCAGGCAGTCATTTATTTGATCGTTCCTGTGGACTATATAGGTCTTCTTGTGGTTTTCCTCTTCACTGTCTTGAAATCAACCACTACACAATTATTGTCAGCACTATGAATTATTATTATTATTATAATCATGGGGAGCGCTAAACCCGTAGGATTATACAGTGTATGTGGGGGGATGAAAGGTATTCAGACTCAATTCAGGGAACCGGAGCATAAATCCAATTCTCTAGATCAAGAGCCCCTCACCAGCATCAAGGAACCTCCCTTGAGAGGTCAGCACTATGAAGAAACCTTTATTCGGATTACTGATCCCGGAGCATTAGTGGCACGTGTTAATGCAAGAAAGACAAGAAGTGTGGCTCATTTCAGTTGGGGTCCTTTTTAGATTCTCCCAGGATGAGACTCTCAACAATCTACTAACTAGTAGATATTTATTTACTGTTAGGCAGCAGGGGCAGGTGGTAGGAGACTTACCCATGTATCCCGCCTCACCCAGGGTTTAACCCAGATACTGTAGCAGCATTCTGCTACAGTACCATTTACAGTTTCCCATTAAAAAACTCTATATCCTTTATATGCATGGATATTTGCTGTAATGATAATATAGGCTCCATTTTTTTGTGGGATAGCCTTAGAGAGAGACGGTAATTGCAATTACTTGATGATATCCTCATCACTCTACTGAAATCTCCCTGCTCAGGCTGAAAAATCAAATACAGTAAATGTGTGAAATCCTTCTTGAGTGATAAAATACGTCAGGTAACTATTGTTAGATTTGGTTGTCACAGGATAAACTACCATATAGAATAGGGTAAAGGACACTGCGGGTGCACCTAATTTTGTTTAAAAAAAATTCTCTGGGCTGAGCACACAGGCATTCTGCAGGGGGTAGATCTTTCGGGGGAGGCGACTGCGAAGAAGATCTATACACTCAAGAAGGAGAAGAAGCCGCCCGCTGGACCGCCTTTCTTGAGACGTTTTGCAAGAGAACTAGGACGTGGGCGACGACCAAGGATGCTCTTTCCAAATACAAGGACGTTCTCACAGGTGGGTGTTGGTGGGCTGTCTTAGTGAGGATGGATGCTAGTTCTGGTTGGTACTGATGTAGAAGGGTGGTGTTGGTGTGGGTAGATAGAGTAAGTGGGGAGGGTTGATGGTGAAGATATGTAAAGACCATGCATCACTGGTCCAGTTAATATGTAAAGCAAGTGGTTCATAGGTTGATGAGATATTTAAGAGAGACCTTCACAAGCGATAAAGTAGATACCTACTACCACTCTTTCACTAGACACATGCCTCCTGCCCTCCAGGACGTCTCGAGGAGATGAAGAAGGTGGAGCGTCTGCAGAGGGAGAATGCTGAGCTCAGGTATCTCCTGCAGGGTGTTGCTAGCGATCTATGATCTGTAGGATGTCAGCAGCGATCTATGACGTGCAAATTGTCTTCAACGATCTACTGCAGGGTGTCGTCAACGATCTATGACCTACAGGTGTTTTCAGCTATCTGTGACCTGCAGGGGTTTCGTCAGCTGTCTATGATGTGGTGCAGACTGTTAGTGACCTGTTCTGATACCACACAGTATGCTCACTTAGGAATATATTATAAAAACATGTGGGGCGAGAAAAGTAGAGAAGACTACTGTAGAGGCCGGATTTTTGCTGAATTGGTATTGTGACTTTTCATTTTCCTGAATGTTGGTTATTTCAGAACTTCAAATTGGTGCCTTGAAAGGCCCCTGATCCAAGGAATTAAAGCTCTCCTCCCTTTCCTTGGAATAAAACTGATTATATCTCCTTCCCATGCGCTGTACGGCCCCTACGGGCTTAGCGCTTCCCCATGAATATAAAAATTTCAAGCCCAAATAAAGATAGACTATACACTCACTATAAGCTCAGTCTTATTTACCTCTGTCTCATGTATTTATGTGCCAAAAACAGGTCTTTCTCAACCTATATTAGTTTCATTGAACTTTTCCCTATGGGTTCACAAGACAGGGAGACCTAAACAGTGAGGCACTATTCCCTTGATAAGGCTAAATAATGAGGCACTATTCCTTGAATTGTACTTGCTCTTACTTTCTTTCCTTCGAACCTAGTTACTTCTTATTCCCCAAACGGCTAACTGGTTTTCTTGTGAAGGGATTCAGGAAAACCGGTTAGCCGGACTTGAGTCCTGGAGTGGGTAGTACAGTGCACTCTAAAGGAAGGGTTTGGGATATTTGCTGTTTGGAGGGATATCTGAGACATTGAGTGTAAGTGATGGATGGTGGAACACTTTCACCATATATATATATATTATATATATATATATATATATATATATATATATATATATATATATATATATATATGGTAGTAGGTTGGTAGACAGCAACCACCCAGGGAGGTACTACCGTCCTGCCAAGTGAGTGTAAAACGAAGCCTGTGATTGTTTTACATGATGGTAGGATTGCTGATGTCTTTTGTCTGTCTCATAAATATGCAAGATTACAGGCATGTCTTGCTACTTCTACTTACACTTAGGTCACACTACACATACATGTACACATTTATTTATACACACTCATCTGAGTTTTCTTTGATTTTATCTTAATATTCTTGGTCTTATTAATTTTCCTTTTATACCCAAATGGGGAAGTGGAATAAGAATCTTTCCTCCGTAAGCCATGCGTGTTGTAAAAGTCAACTAAAATGCCGGGAACAATGGGCTAGTAACCCCTTTTCCTGTAAAGATTACTAAAAAGAATAAGAAGAAGAAAATTGTCAAAGTGGGAAGTCTGAATGTGCGTGGATGTTGTGCAGATGATAAGAAAGAGATGATTGTGGATGTTATGAATGAGAAGAAGCTGGATGTCCTGGCTTTAAGTGAAACAAAGCTGAAGGGGGTGGGAGAGTTTCAGTGGAGAGGAATAAATGGGATTAGGTCAGGGGTTTCAAATAGAGTTAGAGCTAAAGAAGGAGTAGCAATAATGTTGAAGGATAAGCTATGGCAGGAAAAGAGGGACTATAAATGTATTAATTCAAGGATTATGTGGAGTAAAATAAAGATTGGATGTGAAAAGTGGGTTATAATAAGCGTGTATGCACCTGGAGAAGAGAGAAGTGTAGAGGAGAGAGAGAGATTTTGGGAAATGTTGAGTGAATGCGTGGGGAGTTTTGAATCAAGTGTGAGAGTAATGGTGGTTGGGGATTTTAATGCTAAAGTGGGTAAAAATGTTATGGAGGGAGTAGTAGGTAAATTTGGGGTGCCAGGGGTAAATGTAAATGGGGAGCCTTTAATTGAGCTATGTGTAGAAAGAAATTTGGTAATAAGTAATACATATTTTATGAAAAAGAGGATAAATAAATATACAAGGTATGATGTAGCACGTAATGAAAGTAGTTTATTAGATTATGTATTGGTGGATAAAAGGTTGATGGGTAGGCTCCAGGATGTACATGTTTATAGAGGGGCAACTGATATATCGGATCATTATTTAGTTGTAGCTACAGTTAGAGTAAGAGGTAGATGGGAAAAGAGGAAGGTGGCAACAACAAGTAAGAGGGAGGTGAAAGTGTATAAACTAAGGGAGGAGGAAGTTCGGGTGAGATATAAGCGACTATTGGCAGAAAGGTGGGCTAGTGCAAAGATGAGTAGTGGGGGGGTTGAAGAGGGTTGGAAAGTTTTAAAAATGCAGTATTAGAATGTGGGCAGAAGTTTGTGGTTATAGGAGGGTGGGGGCAGGAGGAAAGAGGAGTGATTGGTGGAATGATGAAGTAAAGGGTGTGATAAAAGAGAAAAAGGTAGCTTATGAGAGGTTTTTACAAAGCAGAAGTGTTATAAGAAGAGCAGAGTATATGGAGAGTTAAAAGAAAGGTAAAGAGAGTGGTGAGAGAGTGCAAAAGGAGAGCAGATGATAGAGTGGGAGAGGCACTGTCAAGAAATTTTAATGAAAATAAGAAAAAATTTTTGGAGTGAGTTAAACAAGTTAAGAAAGCCTAGGGAAAATATGGATTTGTCAGTTAAAAACAGAGTAGGGGAGTTAGTAGATGGGGAGATGGAGGTATTGGGAAGATGGCGAGAATATTTTGAGGAACTTTTAAATGTTAAGGAAGAAACAGAGGCAGTAATTTCATGCACTGGTCAGGGAGGTATACCATCTTTTAGGAGTGAAGAAGAGCAGAATGTAAGTGTGGGGGAGGTACGTGAGGCATTACGTAAAATGAAAGGGGGTAAAGCAGCTGGAACTGATGGGATCATGACAGAAATGTTAAAAGCAGGGGGGGATATAGTGTTGGAGTGGTTGGTACTTTTGTTTAATAAATGTATAAAGAGGGGAAGGTACCTAGGGATTGGCAGAGAGCATGTATAGTCCCTTTATATAAAGGGAAAGGGGACAAAAGAGACTGTAAAAATTATAGAGGAATAAGCTTACTGAGTATACCAGGAAAAAGTGTACGGTAGGGTTATAATTGAAAGAATTAGAGGTAAGACAGAATGTAGGATTGCGGATGAGCAAGGAGGTTTTAGAGTGGGTAGGGATGTGTAGATCAGGTGTTTACATTGAAGCATATATGTGAACAGTATTTAGATAAAGATAGGGAAGTTTTTATTGCATTTATGGATTTAGAAAAGGCATATGATAGAGTGGATAGAGGAGCAATGTGGCAGATGTTGCAAGTATATGGAATAGGTGGTAAGTTATTAAATGCTGTAAAGAGTTTTTATGAGGATAGTGAGGCTCAGGTTAGGGTGTGTAGAAGAGAGGGAGACTACTTCCCGGTAAAAGTAGGTCTTAGACAGGGATGTGTAATGTCACCATGGTTGTTTAATATATTTATAGATGGGGTTGTAAAGGAAGTAAATGCTAGGGTGTTTGGGAGAGGGGTGGGATTAAATTATGGGGAATCAAATTCAAAATGGAATTGACACAGTTACTTTTTGCTGATGATACTGTGCTTATGGGAGATTCTAAAGAAAAATTGCAAAGGTTAGTGGATGAGTTTGGGAATGTGTGTAAAGGTAGAAAGTTGAAAGTGAACATAGAAAAGAGTAAGGTGATGAGGGTGTCAAATGATTTAGATAAAGAAAAATTGGATATCAAATTGGGGAGGAGGAGTATGGAAGAAGTGAATGTTTTCAGATACTTGGGAGTTGACGTGTCGGCGGATGGATTTATGAAGGATGAGGTTAATCATAGAATTGATGAGGGAAAAAAGGTGAGTGGTGCGTTGAGGTATATGTGGAGTCAAAAAACGTTATCTATGGAGGCAAAGAAGGGAATGTATGAAAGTATAGTAGTACCAACACTCTTATATGGGTGTGAAGCTTGGGTGGTAAATGCAGCAGCGAGGAGACGGTGGAGGCAGGGGAGATGTCCTGTTTAAGGGCAATGTGTGGTGTAAATATTATGCAGAAATTCGGAGTGTGGAAATTAGGAGAAGGTGTGGAGTTAATAAAAGTATTAGTCAGAGGGCAGAAGAGGGGTGTTGGGGTGGTTTGGTCATTTAGAGAGAATGGATCACAGTAGAATGACATGGAAAGCATATAAATCTATAGGGGAAGGAAGGCGGGGTAGGGGTCGTCCTCGAAAGGGTGGAGAGAGGGGGTTAAAGGAGGTTTTGTGGGTAAGGGGCTTGGACTTCCAGCAAGCGTGCGTGAGCGTGTTAGATAGGAGTGAATGGAGACGAATGGTACTTGGGACCTGACGATCTGTTGGAGTGTGAGCAGGGTAATATTTAGTGAAGGGATTCAGGGAAACCGGTTATTTTCATATAGTCGGACTTGAGTCCTGGAAATGGGAAGTACAATGCCTGCACTTTAAAGGAGGGGTTTGGGATATGGCAGTTTGGAGGGATATGTTGTGTATCTTTATATGTTTATGCTTCTAGACTGTTGTATTCTGAGCACCTCTGCAAAAAAACAGTGATAATGTGCGAGTGTGGTGAAAGTGTTGAATGATGATGAAAGTATTTTCTTTTTGGGGATTTTCTTTCTTTTTTGGGTCACCCTGCCTCGGTGGGAGACGGCCGACTTGTTGAAAAAAAAAAAATATATATATATATATTATATATATATATATATATATATATATATATATATATATAATATATATTATATATATATATATATATATATATATATATATATATATATATATATATATATATATATATATATATATATATATATATATATATATATATATATATATATATGAAGCCATTCTCTTTGGCACGAAACATAAACTGAGAAGGGTAAATAATTTTAATGTCCAGTGTAATGGGGAGCCCATCACTTTGGTTTCATCAGTAAAATATCTGGGAATCCCCTTTGACCCATGCATGTCAGGAGAATTGATAGGGAACAATGTAGTAAAGAAAGCGAATGCCAGACTGAAGTTCCTGTATAGACAAGCAGTGTCTACCTACTGAGGCTCGCAGGACCCTATGTCTAGCCCTTATACAATGCCATATGGATTACGCTTGCTCTTCATGGTACTCTGCCTTGACAAAAAAAAAAAAAAATGAAAGATAGACTGCAAATCACCCAGAACAAAATCATAAGATTCATCTTGGGGCTGGGACCAAGAGAACATGTAGGCCAAGATGAATTACAGCAGTTGGATATGCTGAATGTTGAAGACAGAGTAAAACAACTGAAGCTAAATCATGTTTATAAAATTGCTCACAAACAGTGTCCAGAATATCTTGCTGTCAATTTTGTCAAGGTTGGGAACCAAAGGAATCATAGTACTAGGTGGAGAGAGCACAACTTTGTAGTACCCACAGTCAGTGGCCAGGCTTCAAACACCTTTTATTGTACAGCAATAAAGGAATGGAACAGAGTACCCGCACATGTCAAAGCCAGTCATAGCATGAACCAGTTCAAGAAGAGTGCCAAAAGGTGTCTGATGAATGTAGCTACAGAAAGGGAGGGGAATGATTTTACATTTTTTAGTTAACATACGTGTAAATTTTACCTTATTCTTAGTAATGACCCTCGTATTGTAGATAGTCTTAATGACCCTCGTGTAGTAGATAGTCTTTTTAGTATGATAATAAGATGTTATCTTCATTATAGAATAATAAGAAAATATTATAACCTTTATATTATAATAATAAGGTAAAAAGACCCCAATGGAAATAAGTCACTCTGTCTGACTTTTTTGTGTTATCCCAGGTTCTCTACACATATGCTGCTATGTATGATAATTCTATGTAACTGTATTTATGTATACCTGGATAAACTTACTTACTTATATATATATATATATATATATATATATATATATATATATATATATATATATATATATTATATATATATATATATATATATATATTATTTATTTATTTATTTATTTAACATGCTGGCCGTCTCCCACCGAGGCAGGAGACCCATCATTCACTTTATTACTGTGGAAAATTACATTTATCTGAATGTATCATTATATACATAACAGTAAATGAACAAAGATAATTATTATTTATCAGTTAGACAAGTAGGAATTTGGGACACCTAGGTCGCAAAAATGTCCCCCTTCGATACCTACCACTGTCATATCCACAATTTGCTTTGGACCTATTACAAATGAAAAATACATCACCAGGAATGCTGGTAAATATATAAATTTGTGGACTGTATATTAAATTAAAAAATGATTATATATAAACACATTTACATAACAGAAGGAAAATATCTTAATCGTAACACTCGACAATTTGACTGGAGATTAATGTGTCATGTACAGGACCCCCCCTTTTGCCTACATTTATGAAGAATTTACTGGCCAGAAATTAAACAATTTAGACAGCTTATCTGAGGTTCCTGGAGTTGTCCTGTCCTGTCGCCTGATTCTCAAATTATGCAGGAATGCACATCCAACAATTTCGCCTCCTATTTGAGAGGTGTCAGCCCAATTTTAACCTCTAGAGCACGAAAATTCCTTCCCATTACACTAACGTTGTATCCAATTCAAATTAAATGGCGATTGTCCCTTCTCCCCAGGCTCTGTTTCCCATTTTCTATGACATAAATGTTATTAAATACAGTATGGCCATCTATATGCATATAAATACTGAATTTCTGGAAAATATATACAGTATTTTCCACAATTACTGTCTTGCTATTTATAATATTTTATATCGGTAACCTGCTGTATAGTCCTTGTGGCTTAGCGCTTCTTTTTTTATTATAATAATAATATATCGGTAACCTGTAGGGTGTTATTTTTCACCACAAAAAATCAAATGGGGTCACAAGTGTTAGTGAAGCTGGAGGACTTGCAGTTAAAACAGCTTTACCTGAGATGATGAATAAGATGTATGTGCATCACTTGGGTGTCTTTATTGTCTTTATTCCTGTGTAGCAGGCTAAAAGTATTCTTGAGATGATCAGTTTATCAGCCTTGACAAATGGTCAGTCCACCAACCTGAGATTTGCAGTTTTGTTTGTGAAGTCATCATTCCCATATTTCCCACACTGAGGAGGGTTAGGTCCCCTGCAGGCAACCATATGTTAGAGTAATTGCGAGGTATGTAAATGCCACAAGTCGTACTGGCTGGGCTTTCCACGACGACAAAGATACAAATTGCAGAACACGTTATTATCACAGGTACAGGTAGGTTCGCCAGAACGGGCTCTGACTCGGGTCTTCTCCATGCGGTGACTCTGCAGTGGCTCCCCATAAGGGAAGTTATTATTGGTATAACGTTTCGCTCTGCAGAGCTTGTCGGCGATATGCCATTTAACCCTGGGTCAGAAAGGCCTTGGTTGTCGAGATTTAGAGCTGCCATTATGTGTTTTCCGTATATGATGACCCAGAATGTCCTGTCTTCCTCACTTGGAAGTTGAGCCTACTCACTAAGCTGTGATTCATTGGTGGACAATACGCTTCTTCGATAAGAGGCAATAGGTATAAAGGGAAGTTTAGTAATGGTCATCTGAGTCAAGACCTCTAATGATTCTTCGACATTACCCCTATGGGGTAAAAGACTTGGCAGACGATGCTCCATCCCCCCAATGAAAAGCAGGGGTGTCACTAGCACGTTAAGGGACCATACAATAAGTGTCAGGGGCCCGAGACTGTTCAACTGCCTCCCAGCACACATAAGGGGGATTACCAACAGACCCCTGGCAGTCTTCAAGCTGTCACTGGACAAGCACCTAAAGTCAGTTCCGGATCAGCCGGGCTGTGGCTCGTACGTTGGTTTGCGTGCAGCCAGCAGCAACAGCCTGGATGATCAGGCTCTGATCCACCAGGAGGCCTGGTCACAGACCGGGCCGCGGGGGCGTTGACCCCCGGAACTCTCTCCAGGTAAACTCCAGGTATGGCCAAGAGCCGTCTTTTGTTAGTTACCATGTTGAGTAGACTAATGAGTATGAAATATCAAATATGATTTATATTTTTTTTATGTTCCACCAAGGATGACCCATCTATACTCGATATGATTTTTTTTTAGGAATGAACCTGGGGCGATACAAAACCACCTCCGTGGCCGCCAACGAAGTATCCAGGAGGCTGCCTTTCTCTTCGATCTCAGGACTGGTGTTAATAATTTGAATATTCTTCTCCATCTGTTATTATAGTAAAATATATGGTAGCTCGTGGCTCAGTGGTGGCGCCATACATTCACATTTCCCTACACCTGTTGCCGTTCACACAACAGTAAATAGGTACCTATGTTAGCCAACTCTTGTAGATGGTATCCCTGGGAAGAAGACCAAATGATCCCAATGGAAATAAGTCATTTCCCTTGGTTTTGGTTAGTTTATGCTGGGTTACCAACCCTCGGTATTAACAATCAGAATAAAATATTCATCATATTTACAGATAAATATTAACAAAAAATATATAGTATAGTTATTCCTAAATCTCCATTTTCTCTAATATAATTTTTTCTTGAATAGTGTAAATGTTTCTAGTCTTTAGAATGCCTAACTGAGATGTCGCGAATATTGTCATAAACTCATTTTGACTTAGCTCAGGATGGTAATAATATGAAGAGTAGATGAGAGATGGATTTATGGGAAGGTAGGCCTTGGATGATGGAGGAGGAGGCTGGAGGAAACACACCAGTTTCTGACTTGCTGGTAAAATATCAATATTTGACAACACGGGAGAAGCAGACGACGCTGGCAGGAGGTGGAGGTAATACTCCCTTGTCTCTCTCTCTTTCCACTGAGCTGGATAACATAAACTCTCACGGGCATACAAGTAACAAGTTACTTTAAAATGTGTGTGTGTGTGTATGGTGGGAGGGAGGAGCTTGTGTGGCACTGAATGACTCGTAGAATCACCTGTCACTCGTGACAAACTTGTCACTGTGGCACTGTCATGCAGTGTCTGTGGCACTACTGGCACACTTACGTTAGGAAATCCAAAGAGGACGCACACTTCTTACTGGTGATTGAAACATTTGTAGTGTTTGTCAGTGTGGCTGTGTGAGAGATTGACACTGTCACAGACCGTGTAGGTTTTTAAATCCATAGGGTTGTACTGAGTACAAGAGCTGTACTTGTTATTATATTGAGTACTATATATGTCACGGTCCCATTAATAAGGTCTTTGCTGTTAAATTTCCTGCAGAAGAAAAGAACACGATTAAATTTTCTGTAATTACAAATGTAATGCTTTCACAGCAATCCCTTGTGCTGAATGTATTGAGTACGGCTCAATAAAAACATAAAAATAATCATTCTTACAATCATAACTAAGCGCTAAACCTACAAGGGTTACACAGCTAAGAAAACCATTTTAAATAGTGTGATTATGGTGGTGGTTTGTAGGAGGAAAGACATGACATAAGTCCAGGTTTTAGTGAGGTTAAACCCTTGTGTGTTTAGCGCTTAGTTATGCTTATAATAATAGTGAGGCTAATATCTCATCAGGCAAGGTAAGAGTGTGGCCAAACCTGCATTACTGAGACCTTTTAAAAGTCCGTTTCACATTGCCTTGGTGTGTATGTGTGAGACCTCATATCTCCCCAGGTCTAAGATTATGGCAGTTCCACATTTGCCCAGGTCTTTGCAAGACTAGTAGACCCATATTTTCTCAGGTCTGTGCAAGACGATGGTAGTCCCATATTTCCCCAGGTCTAAGGCTATAGTAGTCCCACATTTTCCTGGGTCTGTACAAAACTATGGTGGCCCTTGGCCTTGTAGACAATGCTCTCAACTCACACAAAGTGTCTGTGATTTGATCTCCAGCAAGGGTGGAAACATTGAGCATGTTTCCTTACACCTACTGCCCCTGTTTACCTAGCAAGTAATTAGGTACCTGGGTGTTAGTCGACTGGTGTGGGTTGCATCCTGGGGGACAATATTGAAGGACCCCATTGAAAATAAGACAGAAAGTCACTTGATGATGCCCTGCCTTTCTTGGGTTATCCTGGGTGGCTAACTCTCTGGAGTTTACCTGGAGAGGGTTTCGGAGGTCAACGTCCCCGTGGCTCAGTCTGAGACCAGGCCTCATGGTGGATCACGGCCTGATCAACCAGGTTGTTACTGCTGGTTAAAAATCCAAACAAAATCTTAGGCCAGTTTTGTATAAAGGTGCTACCATATATCCCGGGTTTGTTGCATTACTCGGGTCTGTGGGAGGCTAGTCCCTTTGAAAGAGCCAGTGAGGAGATCTTGATCCAAAGAATTGGACCTGCCCTCCTTGAACTAATATCCTCATCATTTCCCAGGCACTGTCTGGCCCCAGAAGGTTTAACGCTCTCACTCCCTCCCTTTTGAATGTAATGTAATCAGAGTGAGGTTATTCTCACATTACCTGGGTCTGAGAGAGATTAGTTTAACAATACCCCTAGTCTGTACAAAATTGATATTATATTGGGTTTAATTTTGCCTTTTTTTTATGTCCACTTGTTATAAATGCAAAAACTGATATTACATGGTGGCATTAAACTGAATTAACATCAGGTTAATGTTTGCGTTATCCTGGCTAATTTACACTATATGTGATAATTGTACTTTGCGTGCCTGTACCTAAATAATCTTACTAATGTTACGTTCTGCATAATATCTAGAAAGAGAATTTGACAATAATCTTGTACTGTATACATTGTGTAAGTGTGTAGGGTATGCATGTATATTTGTATAATGTGGGGTTAAAAGATGAAGAATCTAATACAAAGTGGGAGTTGTCACAGTTGCTTTTGCAGACGACACTGTGCCTTTGGGAGATTCTGAAGAGAAGTTGCAGAGGTTGGCGGATGAGTTTGATAGGGTATGTAAAAGAAGAAAATTAAAAGTGAATATAGAAAAGAGTAAGGTGATGAGGATAACAAAAAAATTAGATCACGAAAGATTGGATATATTGGAGGGAGAGAGTATGGAGGAGGTGAATGTATTCAGATAGTATTTAGGAGTGGACGTTTCAGCAGATGGGTCTGTGAAGGATGAGGTGAATCATAGAATTGATGAGCGGAAAAAGGTGAACGGTGCACTTAGGAGTCTGTGGAGACAAAGAACTTTGTCCATGGAAGCAAAGAGGGAAATGTATGAGAGTGTAGTTATATCCAGTGCTTTTATATGGGTGTAATGCATGGGTGGTGAATGTTGCAACCAGGAGAAGGCTGCAGGCAATGGAGATGTCATGTCTGAGGGTAGTGTGTGGTGTGAATATAATGCAGAGAATTTGTAGTTTGAAAATTAGGAGGAGATGCAAGATTACTAAAACTATTATCCAGAGGGCTAAGGAGGGGTTGTTGAGGTGGTTCAGACATGTGGAGAGGATGGAATGTTTTAGAGTGTATAAATCTGTAGTGGAGGGAAGGCAGGGTAGGGGTCAGCCTAGGAAAGATTGGAGGAGGGGGTAAAGGAGGTTTTGTGTGCGAGAGGGCTTGGACTTCCAGCAAGCATTCATGAGCATGTTAGATAGGAGCGAATGGGAACATGGTTTTTAGGATTTGACGTGCTGTTGGAGTGTGAGCAAGGTAACATTTATGAAGGGATTCAGGGAAACCAGCAGGCTGGACTTGAGTCCTGGAGATGGGAAGTACAGTGCCTGTACTCTGAAGGAGGGGTGTTAATGTTGCAGTTTTATAACTGTAGTGTAAGCACACCTCGGGCAAGACAGTGGTGGAGTGAGTGACGATGAAAGTTTTTCTTTTTCGGGCCACCCTGCCTTGGTGGGGGACGGCCAATGTATTAATAATAAAAAATTATACAAATAAACATGCATTATACATTATATTGATCAGCACTAGCTCTTAAGAATCCTTATTTTGATGATTAAGACCAGATACATAAGTGCTCAAGTATGCAAGATTGTTTTAGACTTTGTGAAGGATCATTTTTAAACTTTCAGTACTTTCAAACTTGTATGAACATCACACAGACAAATTAGCTGATATGAAGCTATTACAGAATTACCAGTATATATTATTTATTGCCTAACCATATTTCAATTTATTTATTTAATATTAGTCTAGGGTTTTCTTAATAAAAAAATTTTCAAAATATAAATTTCAGATTTTAAATATTGTCCAGTATAGCATACAGTGTACTGTACTGTTTCATTGTTAAAACTAATATTTTAACACCTGAACCTTTTAAAAACTATGGAAAATGACACTTGTGTACAGTTCAGGATATTTAACAAATGTCCTGAACACTCGGTAAATGTCCTGAACATTCAATAAATGTCCTGAAAATTCAATAAATGTGCTGAACTGTACACAAGTGTTCATTTTCACAGTTTTTCAGTATCATTATTCCATTTAAACCTTTTATAAACTAATTTAGTTTTTGGCACTAAATTACTGCATGTCAGTGTGTGTCATGTGAGGAAAGGTGTGGCATATGAAGAAGGGTGTGGCACATGGGAAGGGTACATACAGCATTTGGGAAAGCATATGTGGAAGGGTGTGTAATATGAAGGGGTTCAGCATGTAAGGAAGTTTGTGGCATGCGAGGAGTGGTACGTGAGGATGGGTGCAACATGTAGAAAAGGGTGTGGTGTGTGAGGAAGGGTGCAGTACATAAGGATGGGTGTGTCATGTGAGGAGGGGTGTGTCATGTGAGGATGGGTGTGTCATGTGAGGAGGGGTGTGGCATGCAGGGAGGTACTAAGTCTTGATCTTATCTTTATCATTGCATATTTATATAATTGTAGTATTGCTCTCTGACATCACTCACCTCTCTACTGTGCAGCACTTGTATAGGTTTATTGCTTTCTTTTGCAGTTAAGTGTGAAATAAAGTACAATACATATTTTTTAATTAACTGCAAGTTGTTGAATGTGAAACTCATAAGTGCATTTAGAGATTAACAGGAGTATCTGGCAGTGTCTGGGTTGTTGCTAATATTAAATTACCAAGTTTTCAAGTAATCAGCATATCCTGGATGATTTTTGGGGGGTTAGAACATGAATACAGTATTATATCTTTGAAATCCTATTTTAAATAAGATACCAGCACCATAACTTTTCACTAAACTCAGTGTACTTCACTTTGCAGCATCATTCATGTTCATACTCAACTTTGCACCTTTTTACTGCAGAGTATCATTCATATTCACTAATCACTTGGGCACACTTGCTTTTTGGCCATATTCATCTCCACTGTTTGACCCTGTACATCATTGCTTCCTAGGTACCATTCATTTTCACTATTGTATGTTAGATGATCTAGTGTTCCCAGGTAAATGCTGTTCAAATTATTAACATGGTTGGGCTGGAACTTTCTTATACTTTTTTTTTAATTATTATTTTTTGGTGGTTTTGTTTTTATACTCAACATTCCCAAAATCTTGGCATAAAAGATTTCATTAGGTTGGCTTCAATTTTTTTTTTTTTTTTTTAGTACATAGGGGATTTCTCTTTGAGGAAGGGAGGTACAAAGAAACATGTTAATCATCATTCATCAATGGTATCAGAGGCCTCTTGTGTGAATTAAGACCAGACACTTATTTTCAGTTTTATATGCAGTACGTATTTGGAAATTCTGTCACATCTTATTAGGCAGTGCCAAATAAATTGGAATTCTGTTGAAATTTTCCATATTTGTAAATTATGTATTATCATTTAGTATTGTACAATGAAAGATGTAAATGTTTGTTCAGTGACTTAATGTTCATTGTACTTATTTTTGAAATGGGAACCAAATGGTTAGCATAAAAATGTTTGAAATATACTGTATTGTATTTCTATTTTGTGTTGCAGGTTACCTCCAAGACAGGCAGTAGAGTATGTAGGGTAGCTAAAGCAGAGTGCAGTGTGGCATCTCGGCCCACTCGACGTGGGGATAATGTGACAGCTTGGACTCCAGCGTCTTCTCAAGAGCTAAGGCTGTGATAGTAAAGGATTTAAATATAATACTGTACTGTTTATAGAAATAGGAAATATAGTTAATCTTAAATAAATCTTCACTTTTGTTAACTTTTCACAGTACAGTACAGTAGTTGTATTTAAAAAGTTCCTTAGAAAAAGCATAATAGCTAGAACACAGATCCTCATATATTATTTATTTATTGATCACTGAAATTTATATCAGTGTTGCTCAAAACACATTTAAAAATAATAAATAAAGCAGTTAATCAGAATTCTCATTAATAAGTTAGAGGCTAGATATTTATAACTTTATTACACTACCTATCACCAAGTACTGTATAAACAAGCACCCAACTTAGTCATTATCAGACGTCATTAAAGTAGTTATATCATATGACTGACTATCATATTTTGTCAAATCATTAAGTCTATAAAAGGACAATTTTAGCTGCCAATAATTTAGGCAGCCAAAATTCTACGTGGGAGAAAATTTCGCCCTCATCGGAGCCGCCTCAGAGGAAGGATGGCGGCAGTTGAGGGTCAGGCAACCCAGCTGGACTTTCATCAAGCTATGGAAGACTTCAAAACTATGTTCCCAGATGTTGATGCTGATGTTATTGAGGTTAGCACACATTCTACTACCATTTTTTTTTATACATAAGGAAAGTGTTAATGAGACAAACATGGAAACTGTAATTATAATTTGTCTACCTGCTAGCAATTAGCATCTACTGTACTTCCTGTATGTATGTTTACATGATGTAGTGCTGTACAGGCCACTGAATTCTAAGTTTATTATTATGCAATCTGGTATCTCAAGGTCAGTAGTTACTCTGCAACACTTCAAATCATTTGCCTTTGTCAAATACTAAAATCCTGCTAAGTCATCTAGTCATTTTGAGAACTAAATTGATGTAAATGGCCATTTGTAGAATGATTGAAAGTACAATAGAGTCTACATAGCATATAAACAACAAACAGTGCATATACTGTATTGTAACAAAAGAAAACATACAGTAATAAGAATGCTGCTTATTTTGGCAGCTACTTTGGTTTAAATATAGGTAGTACTGCACTGCACAATTTAAAGGTAAACTTTATTGTTTAATGTAATAGCCATTATAGATTTCTGGTTTATGTTACTGAGAACCAAGGTAACTGCATGGCCTTTTGCCTACAGAATAACCGTTTATTGTTTTTTAATTTTGTTCTTTATAAAGTAGTGAAATAATGCCTTAAAATGGCTCATATAAATGTTAAGATGATTGAGCAGCATAGATTTGTGTAATTGATACTGTCTTCTTAAAATATATTATGAAATTATAATTTTTTCCAGAATGTTTGTTCAAGAAGAGTGTGGTGCTTAAAGGCTAATCGAAATGTTGCTCTTTCATAATGGATGAACAAGTCTTTGTTTGTTGATAGATTCAAGTATTTTAATCCTGCAATCAAGATCTGCTTAGCCAGAACAAACCTTTCATTTAAGGTTCTCCTTATTCTTGATAATTCCCATTGTCATCCTCTAATCATGCAGTCTATAGACCCTTTATAGGATGCTTGTATTTTTACTAACTAGTATGCCATCTTTGATATAGCCACTGGATCAAGGAGTTATTAGTCAAGTGTCTCAGTACATAGATGGTAATGGAAAAAACTCATTGCAGCTGTGGTATGGGTTGATTATGGCCTTTGGTGGTAAGGAGTCAGGTCTAGGAAATTGTGACTTTGGCAAGAATTGTAAGACACAAGGGTCTTGAAGATGTACATGAAAAAACTGTATAGGAACTGTTAGAGGATAATGAAGAACCAGTTTAATATCTTTATTATGCACCCCATACCCATCCTGTGGGCGGTAGTCAAAAGATTACAGAGGTACATAATGGGTCAAGGGACCGGATCCCAAAGGTATGATAGCTGAACTAGTTACAAAGGTAATGAACTCCAGGTAGATCTGGTCACAATCATGGCAAGTTACAAAGGTAATGAACCATCTGCACTCCTATACATGGCAACAATCATGAACAAATTACAGAGTAATGAGCCACTGACACGTTCACACCCAGTCACAATTGTAATGAGTTATAAGTATACAAATATTAAGTGGGTCATACACCCACACGAGCATGTGCGCACACACACATGAAGGTGCACGCACAGATAGACACACACACGAGCATACAAACACGTACACACACACAAGAAGCTGCTAAGGGACATCGATACCTCAAAGGCAATGGGACCGGACAACATCTCCCCGTGGGTCCTTAGAGAGGGAGCGGATGTGCTGTGTGTGCCACTTACCACAATCTTCAACACATCCCTGAAAACTGGGCAACTACCTGAGGTATGGAAGACGGCAAATGTAGTTCCCATTTTTAAAAAAGGAGACAGAAAAGAGGCACTAAACTATAGACCTGTGTCACTGACGTGTATAGTAAGCAAAGTTATGGAGAAGATTATCAGGAAGAGAGTGGTGGAGCACTTGGAACGGAACAAGAGTATAAACGCCAACCAGCACGGATTCATGGAAGGCAAATCCTGTGTCATAAACCTTCTGGAGTTTTATGATAAAGTAACAGAAGTAAGACACAAGAGAGAGGGGTGGGTTAATTGCATCTTGTTGGACTGCAAGAAGGCCTTTGACACAGTTCCTCACAAGAGATTAGTGCAGAAGCTAGAGGATCAGGCACATATAACAGGAAGGGCACTGCAATGGATCAGAGAATGCCTGACAGGGAGGCAACAACGAGTCATGGTACGTGATGAGGTATCACAGTGGGCACCTGTGACGAGCGGGGTCCCACAGGGGTCGGTCCTAGAACCAGTGCTATTTTTAGTATATGTGAACGACATGATGAAAGGGTTAGACTCAGAAGTGTCCCTGTTTGCAGATGATATGAAGTTAATGAAGAGAATTAAATCAGATGAGGATCAGGCAGGACTTCAAAGAGACCTGGACAGACTAGACACCTGGTCCAGCAACTGGCTTCTCGAATTTAACCCCGCCAAATGTAAAGTAATGAAGATCGGGGAAGGGCACAGAAGACTGCAGACAGAGTATAGGCTAGGTGGCCAAAGACTGCAAACCTTGCTCAAGGAGAAAGATCTTGGGGTGAGTATAACACTGAGCATGTTCCGGAAGCACACATCAACCAGATAACTGCTGCAGCATATGGGCGCCTGGCAAACCTGAGAACAGCATTACGATACCTTAGTAAGGAATCATTCAAGACACTGTACACCGTGTACGTCAGGCCCATACTGGAGTATGCAGCACCTGTTTGGAACCCGCACTTGATCAAGCACGTCAAGAAATTAGAGAAAGTGCAAAGGTTTGCAACAAGGTTAGTTCCAGAGCTAAGGGGAATGTCCTATGAAGAAAGGTTAAGGGAAATCGGCCTAACAACACTGGAGGACAGGAGGGTCAGGGAAGACATGATAATGACATATAAAATACTGCACAGAATAGACAAGGTGGACAAAGATAGGATGTTCCAGGGAGGGGACACAGAAACAAGAGGTCACAATTGGAAGTTGAAGACTCAGATGAGTCAAAGGGATGTTAGGAAGTATTTCTTCAGTCATAGAGTTGTCAGGCAGTGGAATAGCCTAGAAAGTGACGTAGTGGAGGCGGGAACCATACATAGTTTTAAGACGAGGTTTGATAAAGCTCATGGAGCAGGGAGAGAGAGGACCCAGTAGCAACCAGTGAAGAGGCGGGGCCAGGAGCTAAGACTCGACCCCTGCAACCACAAATAGGTGAGTACAAATAGACGAGTACACAAGCATGCACACACACGTGATAATGCTTTATTTACAGTGAGCAAAGTCAGGGTATTTTTCCAGAATGGTTTGTAATATACCACTGTGGATAAAATACTTTGCCATTTCTTGAACATTTCTGAGTGAATTGTCTCTAAATTCATTAATTTTATTGCACTCCAGTACATAATGATGCAAGGCGTGACAACAGTCCATCTGGCGAAGTTTACATCTCATTTGGTCTACATCTGGTAGTGGTGATTTAACTTCCCAAAGATACTTTTAACCCAGCTGGAGGCGGGTGGTAGTGACGTCCAAGAGTCTGCTTAGTTAGGAGGGAGGTAGATATGAGAAGAAGATGAGGTAGAAGAACTTGTAGATAAACAGTTAACACTGCATGAATTACATGAATTTCAGACTTTTTTCACTGTAGAGGGGCCTGATACATCTTTAAGCCAAATCTGGAGCATGTAGTGATGCCTTATCATAAACTGCAGAGTGAAACAGATGAGATATGTTGTGGATGCTCGAGCACTCCAGTAGAACCTGACTATTGACAATTCTGTATCCAAATCACCACAAGAACTACAGCCATCCACCTCAGGCTGATAAATCCACACCAACCCTCTCCACATGCTTCCATGTCAACAAGTAATGACAACTGAATTTTAAAAATCTGTGGAACATGACTATTTTTCCCATATGTTCTTCATTTTATATATATTTTAATAAAGTCTTGATTTTCAGAACATACTCTTTACTGTACTACATATATACATTCTTTATGAGATGCACTTGAAATGCTACTTTTTAGTTGGACTTTGTGGTGTTTTTCATAACATTCGAAGGTTTGTTTTTGGATATATGTACAGTAATAATAACAGCAACAATAATAATGCCTATGTTTTCTGAAATTTCATTGATTTTTTTATAAAGATACAATAGATTTCTCTCTCTTTTCAAATCAAAGGTGAATAGTGGAAACCTTTTTTCCAGTTAGTTGAAAATGCAATACAAAATGTGGAGATCCAGTTTGAAGGGCCTGAAATTATGTTGTGAGGATAGTGTGTATGCTTCTATGTGAATCTAATGTACATCACAGAATGTTTGCTTTTATCTCATGCTATTTGATACCTTTAGGAAATTTCCCTGTAAGGAAGAGGCTATGGCAGAAAAATCTTGAGAAATCTGTTATCTTCTCCTGTTATTTTGTATTCAATAAGTACAGTACCCTCCCTCTTTATCAGGCAGTGTTACGAGCCAACCAAGGAGCTGTTCATGAGACCATTGACCAACTGTTGACAATGACCACAGACACTGAAAGTCAGAGTGAAAGTGTTGGCAATCAGTTGGCACCACATGGAGGAAGTGGAGGTGTAGGGGCCTGCAATGAATTGCCACCATCATATGCCCTTTCTGCGACACCACCCCCAAGTTATCACCAAGCGGTTCCTTCTCCACATCGTTCTCCACTGTTAGTCCCTATCAATATAGACTGCAGACATGTAATTTAACAATGATGTATATTGTCTTTCAGTTTTAGAAAGGGAATGCAAGACATCTGTATTTTAACAGTGATGTATATTGTCTTTCAGTTTTTGAAAGGGAATACAAGACATCTAACTGTATTTCACACGGCGAGGGCCTGGGTTCGATTCCCAGCTAGAGTAGAAACATTGGACGTGTTTCTTTCCACCTGTTGTCTATGTTCCCCATCAGTAAAATGGGTACCTGGGTGTTAGTCGACTGGTGTGGGTCGCATCCCGGGACACTGACCTAATTTGCCCGAAATGCAGAGCATAACAAGGGAGTTTCTATATAGTAGTATGTCATTGTTGTCAGCTAGGACTGTATACCTTGTACATGTACTTGTAGTAAATAAAGATATTATTATTATATTATTATTAACTATGATATAAATATAATTCCACATAAGGAATAATTTACAGTGTTATTTTATACAAACTTTATGAATTCTAAAGAACATGTGTAGGTCTGTGTGTGTATATGTATGTATGTATGTATGTATGTATATGCAACACAACCACAGGGGTGATGGAAAAGGAACTAAAGGCCTTTCAGACTGCTAATCAGAAACTTACAATAGGGAAGAGTGGAAAATTGAGGAGAAAAAAATAAAAATTATACCAACCACTCATCACGAGGAGGAAGCAGTCGATAGTGGTAAATGCTGTGTGAGGTGGCTTGGGCCATCACTGTTAACAGCTGTGTGTGCCAGCATTTACTTGTTTATGTTTCAGGTTTTTAATGTTCTTGCACTCATTTTTAGTTTATATAGGCTAATCTGCAAAATGTGATAGTATTTGATATCTGCAATAAATTTAATACTCTAATGCAAAACCTCTAACGGCACCTCCATGTAACTTCTAACACCATCTTTGATCCTCATCATTATTTTCACTTCTTTCTTCTACCATTATTATTTTTCCCCATTAATCTCTTCAGTACAGTACACCGAACTACCACCTAATGTGATTTCCAACTCCATCTTTACTCTGCTAAAATCTTTGCAAGTAACAAGGATTAACCATTATAGATACAGTAAATGATTTTCAGATATATTTATAAATACAGATGTTATTTAAGTAAATTGTGCTTTAATAAATTCGGTTCATTTAATCTTATTTTAATTTTTCCTATTTTTGAATTTGAGCAGCACGACTAATGGTCTAGCATGTAACAAATTACATGATGTAAGCCAATATTTAATATTGTAAGTGCTTTGACTTAGGAAATTTAAGTTTGTGATTCTAATATTTATTTGCTGAAGTATTATGAAAGATTCATGTTGCATTGAGTGTTGAATCTGCCATTTATAATGCAAATGGATGAAATATGAGATTACTTTGGGAAAATTTGGCTTAACTCAATCATAAAAAATAGCTAAATACTGTATAGTAACTTTGCTTTGTAAATAATATAAAAAAATTAAAGTAAATACTGTATAATGAATTTATTCATTTACTTCAGGATTTTGAATGATATTTTATTTTTTCTCTATAGTCGTGGAGGGTTAGCCCAGTCTGAGGAATCTTTATCACTTCGAGCACAGAGAAACTGGAATCCCCCAATGTTGCTTCCTTTACCGGCTGACTTCCTAAGACTCACTCCCCCTCCCCATCAGGTATGTAAGAAGAAAGTTAATATAACTTGGTTTGGAAATCTAAATCCTATTACCCAGGAATGAGCATTTTTAAATAAACCTAGTCTATGGCTCAATACTCTGTACTTTGTATACTCAGATGCATAACAAAGATAACAAATTTCATTTTGTGTCTGTCCATGGATAGATGAAAAGGAAGGAATGCAAATAGGTAAAGAAAAAAATATAGGTGATAGGAGTCATGGGTCAAGGAAAGTGCTGTTTGATTCTGGGTAAGTAAAAGAATAGTAATGATGATGCAGAGATGTATGACATGGAGGAAAGGATCGAGAGTTTTTTCTTTGGTCTTTGCTGTCTCCTCAAGAGAAGTTTCTTGATGCATTTGAGGGACTCTTGATCCAAGGAATTGGACCTGCCCTTCCCTTCCTTGGATTATACCTGATTGCCTCCCAGTCCGCACATGAATAAATGAATGGAGACGAATGGTTTTTGGGATCTGATGAGCTGTTGAAGCGTGAGCAGGGTGTTACTGCTGTCCGCATGCAAACCAGCGTACGAACCACAGCCCAATTGGTGGGGAACTGACTTTAGGTGCCTGTTCAGCTCTCTCTTGAAGACAGCCAGGGGTCTATTGGTAATCTCCCTTATGTATGTTGGGATCAGCTGAACAGACTTGGGTCTCTGACACTTATTGTGTAGCCTCTTAGTGTACTCATGGCGCCCCTGCTTTTCATTGGGGGTATGTTGCACCGCCTGCCGAGTATTTTGCTTCTGTAGGGAGTGATTTTCGTGTTGGGACTAGTCTCTAAGATTTTTCAAGTGTATATTATCATTTATCTTCTAGCCTGCCTTCTAAGGAGTACAGGTCAATGGACTTCAACTGTTCCCAGTAATTTGGGTGCTTTATTGTACTTGTGTGTGCAATGAAGTTCTCTGTATATTCTCCAGGTCTGCAATTTTGCCTTCCTTGAAAGGGGCCATTAGTACACAGTTGTATTCCACTAAAAAACTCCTACCTTTGTTCACTCAATATACGTATCTGGTTTCTCAGGTAGCAGGTTGAAAAGTTTATAATTATGTTTCTTTACACTGACTTGCACAAATAAAAACCTCAAATGACTATAACCTGGGCATGGCCTATTTTACTGGTCATTTACTATTCTGAAGAGGCCTAAGCCAACTTCATAGCTCATTTGATTGGGTGCTGATACTTACATACCCCTTATATGAATTGCTGACAGAAAAACCAGCCCTTAGGCCTAGTTCCTACTTCAAGAAAAGTGTTCCTCCACATTTTCTTAACATTGTGTTATAATCTGTATATTAAATTGTAATAAAACAAATCTATTACTATTTTATTACTGTTCTGTATATTACAAAGTCTGAATATAATAGTGCCCTGGAAGAATAGTTTTTTGTTTTTACATTATGCTGAACAGATCGAAAGATGGGAAAGGCAGTGAAGAATAAGTGATGAGAAAGAGAAAAACTGAGAATTGAAGACATCCCTTCCCTTACCATCCATGTCTGATACCCCCCTTCCCCCACTCACAGTTGATAGGTGTCTCGTAGCTTGATCGCTATTGCACTCTGCTCACACACTATGGTCTGGGGTTCGAATCTCCTCTGGTACAGCTGGAAAACTTTAGGGACGTGTTTCTGTAAGACACCTGCTGTCCCTGTCCCTGTTCACCCATCAGTTTAAAATGGGTACCTGGGTGTTAGTCAACTGGTATGGGTCGCATCCTGGGACAAAACCAACCTAATTTGCCTGAAATGCACAGCATAACAAGTGGCTTTTTATTTAGTGGTATGTCATTAATGCCAGCTAGGCCTATATACCATGTACATGTACTTGTAGTAAATAAAGATATTCTTTTCTTTCTTTCAACAAACCGGCCGTATCCCACCAAGGCAGGGTGGCCCAAAAAGAAAAATGAAAGTTTCTCTTTTTAAATTTAGTAATTTATACAGGAGAAGGGGTTACTAGGCCCTTGCTCCTGGCATTTTAGTTGCCTCTTACAACACGCATGGCTTACGGAGGAAGAATTCTGTTCCACTTCCCCATGGAGATAAGAGGAAATAAACAAGAACAAGAACTAGAAAGAAAATAGAAGAAAACCCAGAGGGGTGTGTATATATACGCTTGTACATGTATGTGTAGTGTGACCTAAGTGTAAGTAGAAGTAGCAAGACGTACCTGAAATCTTGCATGTTTATGAGACAGAAAAAAGACACAGCAGTCCTACCATGTAAAACAATTACAGGTTTCTGTCTTACACTCACTTGGCAGGACGGTAGTACCTCCCTGGGCGGCTGCTGTCTACCAACCTTTCTTTCTTTCAACACACCGGCCGTATCCCACCGAGGCGGGGTGGCCCAAAAGGAAAAACAAAAGTTTCTCCTTTTACATTTAGTAATATATACAGGAGAAGGGGTTACTAGCCCCTTGCTCCTGGTATTTTAGTCGCCTCTTACAACACACATGGCTTACGGAGGAAGAATTCAGTTCCACTTCCCCATGGAGGTAAGAGGAAATAAACAAGAACAAGAACTAGAAAGAAAATAGAAGAAAACCCAGAGGGGTGTGTATATATATGCTTGTACATGTATGTGTAGTGTGACCTAAGTGTAAGTAGAAGTAGCAAGATGTACCTGAAATCTTGCATGTGTATGAGACAGAAGAAGAAGACACCAGCAATCCTACCATCGTGTAAAACAATTACAGGCTTCCGTTTTACACTCGCTTGGCAGGACGGTAGTACCTCCCTGGGCGGTTGCTGTCTACCAACCTACTACCTATATATTATTTTTCTTTCTTTCTTTCAACACACCGGCCGTATCTCACCAAGGCAAGGTGGCCCAAAAAGAAAAATGAAAGTTTCTCTTTTAAATTTAGTAATTTATACGGGAGAAGGGGTTACTAGCCCCTTGCTCCCGGCATTTAGCCGCCTCTTACAACACGCATGGCTTACAGAGGAAGAATTCTATTCCACTTCCCCATGGAGATAAGAGGAAATAAACAAGAACAAGAACTAGAAAGAAAATAGAAGAATACCCAGAGGGGTGTGTATATATATGCTTGTACATGTACGTGTAGTGTGACCTAAGTGCAAGTAGAAGTAGCAAGACATACCTGAAATCTTGCATGTTTATGAGACAGACAAAAGACACCAGCAATCCTACCATCGTGTAAAACAATTACAGGCTTCCGTTTTACACTCACTTGGCAGGACGGTAGTACCTCCCTGGGCGGTTGCTGTCTACCAACCTACTACCTATATTTTTTTTTTTTTTTTTTTTTCCAACAAGTCGGCCGTCTCCCACCGAGGCAGGGTGACCCAAAAAAGAAAGAAAATCCCCAAAAAGAAAATACTTTCATCATCATTCAACACTTTCACCACACTTGCACATTATCACTGTTTTTGCAGAGGTGCTCAGAATACAACAGTTTAGAAGCATACACATATAAAGATACACAACATATCCCTCCAAACTGCCAATATCCCAACCCCTCCTTTAAAGTGCAGGCATTGTACTTCCCATTTCTAGGACTCAAGTCCGACTATATGAAAATAACCAGTTTCCCTGAATCCCTTCACTAAATATTACCCTGCTCACACTCCAACAGATCGTCAGGTCCCAAGTACCATTCGTCTCCATTCACTCCTATCTAACACGCTCAAGCGTGCGTGAGCGTGGAAGTCCAAGCCCCTTGCCCACAAAACCTCCTTTACCCCCTCTCTCCAACCCTTTCGATGACCTATATATTATTGTTATATTTATTATGTAAGGCATTTTAGTCTGTTTAGAAACCATTTGTTTTATTGTGTGTTTTGCAATAAGATTTTAAATACGGCGGTGAGTGAGGGCAGGAGTTAGTGTTTGCTTTTGTGATAGATTTTACTCAGGGGAAGGAGTTACATTTTGTTTGTGCAATTGATTTTTACTTAGGTTGGGGGGAAGGTTAATTTTAGCTTGTGAGCGGTGAATGTGAAAGAGTGTGAATATCTTTAAAGTGTAGAGCGTTGGATGACCTTTTGTCTCAGTGTTTTCTAAATATTTTAATATCTTTATGCCACCCACACTTCTGTCACACCACCTGCAGCATTGTCACACCACCTGCAGCATTGTCACACCACCTACAGCATTGTCACACCACCCACAGCATTGTCACACCACCCACAGCATTCTCACACCACCCACAGCATTCTCACACCACCCACAGCATTCTCACACCACCCACAGCATTCTCACACTACCCACAGTGTTGTCACACCACCCACAGTGCCATCACACCACCCACAATGCTGTCACACCACCCACACCACTGTAACACCACCCATGGTGCCTTCACCATCCCCGGTGTCGTCACACCATCCCCGGTGCCATCACATCACCCACGGTGCCGTCACACCACCCACGGTGCTGTCACACCACCCATGGTGCCATCACACCACCCACACTGCCGTCACACTACCCACACTGCCGTCACACCACCCACACTGCCATCACACCACCCACACTGCCATCACACCACCTACACTGCTGTCACACCACCCATGTTTCCTCTCATACCATCTATGCTTATCTCACCATCTAAGCAATATAACCATTCCCATTATCCTACACTCATACCCTATTCCCCTTGCTGACCACCCAACAGGGGGAGAGAGACAGAAAAAGCAAATGTGTGTGAGCGAGTGTGTGTGCTCGCTTTTTTGTACTCGTCTGTATGTGATTGCAGGGGTTGAATCACAGCCCCTGGCCATGACTCTTTGCTGGTCGCTACTAGGTCCACTCTCTCCCTGCTCCATGAGCTCTATCGTACCTCTTTTTAAAACTATGTATGGATCCTGCCTCCACCACATCACTCTCCAGATTGTTCCACTTCCTGACAACTCTGTGAATGAAGAAATACTTCCTAATGTCCCTGTGACTCATCTGAGTTTTCAACTTCCAGTTGTGAACCCTTGTTGCTGTGTCCTATATCTGAAACATCATGTCCCTATCCACTTCGT